CCAGTACTTATGTCTGCTTCCATTCCTTCATGAGAGCCAAGGGCTTCACGTAAGCTGAAGGCTGATACAGCCTTCCCTCTTTACTCAGATAAAAAAATTCCACCCATCCTTCAGACATCGATTAAAATCCCGCGTTGTTTATAAAATATTTCTTGGCATCATTTGTTTTCCCCTTTTCCAAATTCCAATATTATATTTGGTGCTATAAAATTAATTCTGGTTTACATATTCTTATTCTCTGTCTTCCACATGCACCAGGAAGCAGTGAGATACAGAGAAAGGGAGACAAGGAAAGTAGTCTTATACAACCAAGTCAATTTCAATCTTTACCTGAGCCTTATGCTTTTTTCCTGATAATTAAGGCCAGTAATATTTATTTTGTAAAGCTATTGCCTAGTTTATATTGTGAAGCCTTTGTAAAAGTGTTTAGCATATTATTGGTGGATACTATATAATTGTCATTTTGTTTAATTTCTTTCCTCATTTATATTTTTGCATATAGTTCTGCCTAAGTGCTAAAGTTGTCATAATACCTACTATTTATCGAGCACTTCATAGTTCATAAATTCTTATAACAATCTGGTGAAATATGTATGCTAACCTCACTTTGTAAGTGAAAAGTGTGATGAGATACTGAAAGGTTAAATACCTTCCACAGATCACACATTTATGGAAAAGCCTGCTAACATAGTCCAGCCCTTCTTGCCAGGCTCCTTGCCAAATATTATACCAAATATTTTGTAAATTAATTCTTAGCCATTTATCCAAAATAAAAGGGTTACCCTCTATAAGCCAGGCTCTCAGCTAAGCATTCAGGGTACAGTAATGAATGAGAGACTTACACTGTGTCCTTATTGAACTTAGAGTCTAGCAACTGGAACAATGTCTAGGCAAGGTTGGTAAAATGGACCCATTTATGTCGCTGTCAACCTCATTCTTGCTAACTCCAGTACTATGGAGTATTGTTATAAGAGCTATGGGTTAACCTGAGTCAGCAACATTTCCAATATATGTGGCCCTTATGATCATTAGTCCTCACTGAGAGTAATAGTGGCAGGACTGAAATTAACTTACCCTTATGTCCATCAAACCTGCAACCTTGTCCTCATTAGCACATGTCAAAACCTCCCAGAAACTAAGCACTATAACAAGACATTGCTACAATTATTAGAAAAAATAATCATTAACTCTTCTTCTTTAATAGGAGAGTGATTCTTTGGTGCGCAGAAAGATCTCTCATATAGTCTCACTATCCCTTGGTCATCTTGACCTAGATATGTCCTCACTTGTGGTTGGTGCCTTGTTACAAGGTGGTTCTAAAAGACCCTCAGCAATGGATATTAGACAGTAGACAGCCTTGTCTTTACTGCCATAGTGTGGTGTATTGAAAAGACTATGAGATGGAGGTTTGAGTCTGCCTTTCCTCAATTCTGTATGTGTTCCAAATCTGGTACACTTGTGCTCCCATTAAGGGATCATACTTATGCCTTGATGCCAGCTTTCCACCATTATGCTGGCTAAAACGTTAGTAACCCAAATACAGGAGTTTTCTTGATCTGCCTTCAAGCACTTGCCACTTCCTGCATATGCCACTTCTTTTTTTATTGCATTTTAGGTTTTGGGGTTCATGTGAAGAACATGCAAGATTCTTGCATAGATACACACATGGCAGTGTGATTTGCTGCCTTCCTCCCCATCACCTATCTCTGTCATTTCTCCCCATGCTATCTCTCCCAAACTCCCTACCCCCTGCTGTCCCTCCCCTATTTCCCCCGACATACCCCAGTGTGTGATGCTCCCCTCCCTGTGTCCATGTGTTCTCATAGTTCAACACCTACCTATGAGAGAGAACATGCAGTGTTTGATTTTCCGTTCTTGTGTCAATTTGCTGAGAATAATGGTTTCCAGGTTCATCCATGTCCCTACAAAGGACATGAACTCATTGATTTTTACGGCTGCATAGTATTCCATGGTGTATATGTGCCACATTTTCCCTGTCCAGTCTATCATCGATGGGCATTTGGGTTGGTTCCAGGTCTTTGCTATTGTGAACAGTGCTGTAATGAACAATTGTGTGCATGTGTCCTTATAGTATAATGATTTATAATCCTTTGGATATATACCCAGCAATGGGATTGCCGGATCAAATGGAATTTCTATTTCTAAGTCCTTGAGGAATCGCCACACTGTCTTCCACAATGGTTGAACTAATTTACACTCCCACCAATGTCACTTCTTTATAATTTATACCAACTTATACATGTTTGGGATCAGGGTGTTTGTGGAAATCTTTCTTACCTTTAAGGGAACTAACAATGCATCCATATTTTTTTTCCTGTCCATGACTTAGTTTGCTTTTTTCTTCTTTTCTGAAGCAAAAGGGCCCCTCAGAGCACTTAGTCTACCATGTTCTTAGAAGACTAAAGCCCGTATGGGGATTTATATCATTAAATTCAACTTGACTACTTAATAGGGGCAATTTACTTGTTATGTTCTCACTAATCACAGAAGCAAAATGGTAGGATTTAGCTAGCATCTTACATTTCTGAAACTATTTGACTAACATTAACAATTGAGGAAGTGATAGTGAAAAAGTACATTAGTAGTTCCCTAAGAAAATATATTTTGATGATTTAGAAGTTACCTCACAACAGAAAATGCCCTGTAGCTCATTCTCAGGCATTTTTGTTTGGTGATTCTTTAATTAATTAAAGGGCTTTTGCATGTTTTCTTGTGTGCAGTTTGACTCCCCTAATTGAAAGTCCTCTAAATAAGACTACTTTCTTCTCAATTTAAGTTTATGTGTAGCAGTTTGTCCGTAAATTAATTTTATAACTAGGAAATTTAAAAAAGAAAGCACACAAACAAAAACAGCAATGGTGATAATAATACAGGCTCAATTTTCATTTTTGATGCTTGAATTCTTAAGTTTTTAAATTTCTATTACTATTTAGACCCTGGATGTGTATTTTCATATATGTGTACATCTAAATGACTTTGTACATTGGCCCAGTTTGACAAAATAGTTTAAGTGGGAAGCTTGAGATGGGGAAATGTTGAGATGTTCAGATAGAAACATAGCCCAACTTTTGAGCCACTGTGAAATACAGGGTGGTTTTGGTCAAATCTGTCATTAAATGTGTATTGATAGCGGAAGTTGCACACACTGAGGCAGAAATAATATATAATCCGTGTTGGGGTGGGGATATATTTCTGAAATCAATTCTTACTGAGATTGCTTGAAGAATGACAGGGTGGGGCCATCCTGAGACTCTAAGCAACAATAAAACCTGTTTACCCAGCTGAGTCAGTGCCACAATAGAATAGAGCTCCTGGAGATCAATGAGCATATGGTTTAATCAACACACTTGGAGACATGGCACATGAACAGTCCCTGCACAGCTGGTGTGCTCAGCACCATGCTGAGATGGAGCAAAGTAATCATTTTGTACACGACTTGGCTCTTCCCAGCATCATTTCCCCATAACACCCATCTAAGCCAGTAAAGCTTACAGAACCAGGATTCATCTGTAAGAGTCACAGGGATGGAGCCTGTGCCAACTGCCTTCAGGAAAACATAGAGGACAATATCTGATGCCATATATGACACCATTCTGGAGGCCCATCCTGCGCTAAAAATAATGCAATTGGGATGGGTGATAAATAACTAGGTTGATTCCTATTTTTAGTCCATTTCTCACTTTTGTTTTTCTGACCTGCAAACCTGCATCCACAACAGCCTCTTGGAACCTTATATGGAACATAAATAAAATTGAACTAATAATATTCTGTTCTATGCCTGGTTTTGCTCTCATATTCCCTGGCACAACCAATGGCAGGCCCATCCTACTTATTTCAAGTCTTAATGCCACACTTTCCCTTCACCTGCATCTAATATTCAGTCTTACATGGCCACTTTGATGTAGGAACTAGCAGCAGTTGCAGGAAGGGAAGGTCATGTGAATACTCCTGTGGGGGGAACATGATACCTTTTGCACCACTGTTTCCTCTTCTGTTTCCCCTGCTTCCCTTACATCTTGTGGCTTTGCCAAGCCCTTGGTTTCAGGAGTTCCCTGACTGCACAGTTTGCAAACTTGCAATTTTATACCACATTTGTCACCATAGCAACAAAATCCCTACAAAGTGGAAAATTTGTTGAATCAGCTGCCAGATTTATGTCTTGCTGGTGTCCAGTCGAACACATCACTGCTTTCTGGGCTGTGTAATGGAAGGATATTTTTTTCCTAAGAGCTATAGGCCTGACCTTCAATTCCCTACTGTCTCAATTCCTTTTTTGCTGATCTTGTTTTCTTCTGATCCACACTTAATATTTGGCCAAAAAAAGTGTTTCCCCTTTCACATTTCAAATCTTGTTTTCAGTAGGTCTTCCTATGGGGTGGAAGAATACCCTTCAGAATCAACTAAAATTTTAGAAGTGATATTGACCACAGTCCTCTGTGTTCTACTGTCCTTGGAGGGGTATTAGATAATAGAGTCCTATAAAGTAATAACAATCTTAAACTTCAGAAAACAAGAAGTTCTATTTGAATTACTTCCACTGGTATTCTTCTTTTAGTTGGCCATATTTATTTAGCAACAAAAAAGCAATGACTATGATTTTGATCACGTGAAAGACTGGTCTTGGAAGCCCATGGAGGAATTGTCATTGCTCAACAAGCTTTTGGAAATGGGTGTTTTGGTTTGTGTTTTGCTTACTTGTGTTGCTTTCCCCTTAGAACAAGATGTGAATCTTAATTATTGTCTTGTCAACATATGTGTGGGAAGTTTAGTGAGAGAAACAGAAATGTCACCAAGAAGTGGCATCAACTCCAACCAAATATTTCTCCCCTCCCCTCCCCTCCCCTCCCCTCCCTCCCCTCCCCTCCCCTCCCCTCCCCTCCCCTCCCCTCCCCTCCCCTCCCTCCCTTCCCTTCCCTTCCCTTCCCTTCCCTTCCCTTCCCTTCCCTTCCCTTCCCTTCCCTTCCCTCCTTCCTTCTCTTCTCTTCTCTTCCTTTTTCTTTTTCAAAATTTTCTTGAGTCAGGGTCTCACTCTGTCACCCAGGCTGGAGTGCAGTGGTGCAATCACAGCTCACTGCAGCCCAAACCTTCTCAGGCTCTAGCAATTCTCCCACCTCAGTCCCTGAAGCAGCCGTGACTACAGATGTGTGCCACCAAACCTGGCTAATTTTTTTACTTTTTTTTTGTAGAAACAATGTTTGGCCATGTCACCCAGGCTGGTCTCAAACTCCTGGGCTTAAGTGAGCCCCCCTCCTTGGCATCCTAATAGGCATGAGCCAATGTGCCCAGTCAAATATTTCTACTAGAAAGATTTTAGCCAGAAGATGAGAAGCCATTGAGTTTTTATGTCACATTAAAGAACTGAATGTAATGGATAAATATTTTAAAAAGCTGGTTATCACTGTAAGGCTTAAAGTGTGTTTAGAAATAGGTATTCTGGTCATGTTTGGGTTTAAGATCAAGATCCCAATTATCATGAGCTACTGCTAACAGGCAAGGTTTTCTGAGAAAACTTGTAGCTAACATAATTTTATTTAAAATCTACTCACTCCATAGTTGCTAATTAATAATGAATGGAAAATAAATGACTTTTAGTATTAGCTTACCTTTTAGACTTAATGGTCCCAAAAAGACATTGAAATCACTTACTAACCTCTATTTTAATTGCTGTTTCAATAATTTCAGCAGTTTAAACTCCATTTAAGAGAGGAAAGATGAACCAATGAGGTTTTTACATATCTTCTGTGATTGATGCAACGTTGAGACAAGGAGATACTAAGACATTTAGTTTCTGTCCAGTACATTGGCCTCATATACATTATCTCATTTTATCTTCACTATTTATTAGGCATGCTTTTCTCTTTTACAGGTGAGATAATAGAGGCACACAGAATTAGTCTAAGTTACTTGGCTAATCAATAGAAGAACAAATTTGTATTAATCCCAATCCTTAGCTCTTGTCTACTATACAATGCTATCTGAAATAGTAACTTACTGAGTAAGTGATATTATTAAGTAAATGAACAACCATTATTAGTCAACCAGCCTAAAGTTGGAAACATTTTGTTTAATAAAACTATTAAATAAAAAATATTAGGCAGAGTTTTCCAATGCAAGCACTAGACTAGGAATGAAGAAATCTAAGCTGCTGTCAACACTGAGCACCTTTGATAACTATCTCCATTGACCTCAGTTTCCCTATAAATGAGAAGGTCGCTAGATAAACTGTAAGGCACAACATGTGGTTGGCAAAAAGTGCCTTATAGAGCTTGAGAGGCTTGCCTTGCCTTCCACCTGAAGAACCCTGAGTCGGCATTGGGTTTTACTTATGAAACCACGGATTGTTCACATGCTGGTACTAGAGCCCTCTTTGGTTATTCAACTATTCTATAAGTGAGCACTTAATGTCCCACCATGACGTGAATATTATTTAAGGGTAGGAATCTCATCAGCACTTTTTTTCTCTAATGGAATTTCAGAGTTAACACACAAATTTCGGCTAAATGAAGTCTTGACTGTGAAATGTGCTATTTTCATGGAGTTCCATTAATAATCACTTGTGTACTAAAAATCTACATTTAATATAATATAATGGCTGCTATTTCATAATCCAGGCTTCAGATATTCTAATTTGACTTGCTATAGATTATATGAATTATGAAGAGTTATAAGCTTAACTATGTTTAAATTACTCCAAAGACTGCAGTTACCAAAATATGCCTGAGTTTGTTTATACCTGGAATGACAAATATGTGATATGACAAATATGTGATACATTGGTCTCTGCTTTCCCACCTGTGCCTATAGTGGGCACTGTTAATGGGTCATGGCACATATGCATTATTACAGTTCCTGGTACTCAATAAAGAACTTCAAGCGTCTTGCTACCAATTGTTTAGAAATTGCACATAAATTGCTGTGTACTTGCCTTTACTAGTCTAAAAAAAATGAAAGAAAAAAACCACATTTGACTGGGGACACAGTATTGAACCAGTTCTTTCTTCTTAAGGGGTCACCTTTAATAAGCATTAAGAATCAGGGCACCAGACTCTCATCTCTTCCAAAGAACTCTATGAAATACCTGGGAGTTACTGTGAAGAATGTACAGGAGCTAGGTAGCTGTCCACAGCTTGAAATTTGCTATTGGTCTTGTTTAAGCCACTGGGGACATTTTTCTTCCCGGTGGGAATTATAAACCTGGCAAATACCAGGAGAGTCATAAAATCCTCTCTCATATCTTTAATCAATCATGACTAGTATATCTACCATACATTCTGCAAGTTTAAAATAGAATAAAGTCACATTATAATCTTTCTCCCAGCAGCTACACTGCCTTTCAGCACAATGACCCACACTCTATGGCTGTATTAACAGATACGATCTATTCTTTAATGGAGCTCAGCCATGGGGATTAGCTACCTGTAATGCAGTTTGGGCTGTCAAGCACTCTACCAAACTGCTAACACATTACTAGTTATAGGCATCAATTCTTTCTAAGTGAAAAGGCATTTCACATTCAAAACACTTCAAACTTAATAACGGGAAATTATCATGATGGATCCCCTTCAGCTGCTGAAAGGTAAAGAGATGGAGAGAAAAAAGATGCACCCAATCAAAAAATTCATATCAATTCTTTTTGATCTACCTGAGGCAGATTAAACCTGAGTAGTGGATAAGGTTGTCAAAAAGATTGTGGGAGCTCAGTCGTGGATCAGAAGTGTTTCTGTTTGATGGGAGGAGGAAAATTCTAATAAAATAGAAATAAAATCCAACAAAAGGGAGATCCCAGAGTGGCCTGGGCAGTCCAGGAAGGCCGGGTAACATAGATCACACTTAATTGCTCTCATGTTCAGTGTTACACCAGGACATTGAAAACACTCAAGAGAATCTGACCTGGAGCAGAATCTTGGAAGAGAGATCCAGACAAGCAGGGGGAAGCTGAGATGTTCTCTTCCCTATTCAATTTCATAGGGCCTTCCAAGTATGGTCAGACTGTCAGTAGGTCAGAAACTTTCATTGACTTTGGAATCAGGCAGGAGTCAGAGATCTTATATTACCCTACATTTGGACTGCATCCAAAATTAAGTCATCCTGCTGTTATTTCCTCATGACTCAACCACATTCATTCCATCATTCATTCATTGTTGAAAATCATTTATACAATTATGTATACAACTTTGGTTCTATATCTGTGAATTCACTGGATAATATGGAAGGAATTTAAAGAGGCTTTGATGAAAACCAAAGGAATATAAAACACACCTGAACAAAACCAAATTACTCGTCTGTCTCACCACCACAGAGATAGAATAATGTTCATTGTATTTCACCATTACAAAATCTTCTAGTTCAGGTTTGGCAAGTATGTTTCAAGTAGTCAGCTGAAAGGTTGTATTGACAAGGACACTGAGGCCCAATCTGTTCTTATTGGGAGAGGAGTTGGAAGTGACTCCAATATCTTCAGAGGGAAGAACGAAAGGCACGGAATACTCCTGCTGACTCTTTGCCATATCTTACCTAATTAGATTTCCATTTTCAGTTCCCTTCCTTTTAAACATTTTTAGAAACCACTACCAATTTTATATCCCATCATTTGATGGCTGGATAACCTTGAGCATATGATTTAACCAATTTTTGTCTCACTTTTCAGAATATAGAGCTGTAGCACAATGCCTTTTTCAAAAATATATTTATTCAATACCTTCCAGGCACTCGCAGGTCCTCTGGAAATAAGAGCATGTTCCATAGACAAAGTCCACAACCTCATGGAGAGGGACTGACAGTAGTCAAAATAATTACACCAATATATAATGTCTAATTAGATTCTCAGTTAATTAAATTCTAGCTAAGTGCTGCAAAGGAAAAACATGTAATGAAAAAGTCATATAAAAAAGAAACTCATTATTATCTGGGATGGGGCAGAGGGATGGCATTGAAAAAGTTTTCCTGGAGCAAATAATGTTTAAACAGATTTGAAAGAGAGGTAGACATTAATTAGGCAAAGAAGCTGAAGGAACAGCATGTGCAAAAGCCCAAAGGCAGGAAGGAGAATGACATTTTTAAGAAATAAAGATTGGCACAGCTAGAGGCTAGAGAAGAGAAAGGTGGCATGAGGTGAGGCGCTGGATCATGTAGGGCATTCCAGGGCATGTTGAAGATTTTGCTTTTTATTCTAGTAGCAATTGAAAAGCATCAAAGATTATAAGCAGGGGAGAGCTATGGTCAGATATGCATGTTGAAAAAATCACTGTCATGGGATTATAAAGAGTGCCATGCAACAATCCTGTATGATCTGCATATGTACCCCAGAACCTAAAGTACAATTAAAAAAGATATCAAAGACAGTATTAAGTTTGTTTGTTCATTTGTTTACGTTTGTTTTTTCTAGTAGTATGGGGAAAAATGACAAGATTATATTGTCATTATGATTAGACCAACAGTTGGGCTTAAGGGTAAGAAATGGTATGAAAATTGATGCCCAAGGTGAGTCACAAAAGGGCCAGGTTTATGATTTTAACATATTGAAAAGAATTAATATTTATTTTATTTACACTGAACGTTACATTATGCTATGCTGTAAACCATCCAAAATCTGGTCTTACTTAATTCTTACAAAAGCTGTATCAAATAGTCATTATTATAATCTTCAGTTTATAAGAAGTGGGGAAAAGGCTCAAAATACCCTATGGAAAGAAAAGAAGATCAGGCCTATGCTTTGAGATGGAGAGAATTAAAACCAAAACAACAGCTGAACTGCAGCCCTGCTCTAGTCTCCTGATTCTGGAGGATGCATCTCCACCCAGTCACTCTGGAGTGGATCCTCCCTGCTCACACCTCTGCTCTTTATCAAGCCTGTACATCCTCATATCCTCTGAGCCACTGTGTCTGCTCAGCTACCTGAATCCCCATCCTTATATTCTGGTCCAGCTTCCAGAAGGAGACATTGTGGGTGAGGAAACAGATAGTGGGGATGGGGTCAATTTTTCTTAGAACTCCTTTTCTGAAAATCCCCAGGACAGGAACACTGGTTCCATTTATTTTGAGATTCATCCAGAAGCCTGAAGGGGAGGACATTTTCACCCCTGTCAAAAAAGGGACTGAGGAAACTAGGGCTATGTAGCCAAGTGAGAGGATACAGTTTAGGAGCCTCTGTTGAGACTGTCTCATTAGTCATACAGGATTTGCACATTGATGACTGAAGGCAGAATGACCTTAATTACATTATGATGCTAAACATAACGCTTTCCTTGAGGGCCAGGGGAAAAATGGAGAGAAATGGACTCAGCATCTTTGGGCCAAGGATGGAAAATACCAAGGTATTTTATGGCAGATAATTAAGAGAGAGGTGGCTGGGTGGGTGGAGAGGGGAGGGAGGCATGGAAAAGGAAAACAAATAATATATCTTGAGTGTATTTTGTTTCCAGGAACTAAGGAACTGATTTACATAAATGTATATATTTTATCCAAAATAATTAGCAATGATACTGGTGAATTTGTATTACAAATACCTAATAAAACACAAGAATAAATATGTGTATCCTAATTCTTTGGAGTTTTCAAAGCCCTTTGACACAGGAAGGCACTATTGTGTTGTTGATTAAGGAGGTTAGTAAAGCACACATCTTTCTTTCCCATAGGTTCAGAAATAACAGAGAAATGGTCCCAGAAGCCAGATAGGACACAAAATAGAAGTTCCTTGTTAAAGCAGTATTGGAGAATGTGTTTTGGGTCTGGGGCTATTAGCAGGCTTCCTACTAAAGCATATATTCCCACACTCCACCATCAACCACCCAGGTATAAGTAGAGGAGCTGGAGACATGGTAGTTAACTCACAGGTGACCTGCAGGCATGATCTTCCAAGGAGCTCTTCCTTTCTGGAGACCCTTTCTCCAACCCATTACTCCACTGTGACCCCTCCTGTGCAGAGAAGCCAGTTGGGAGAAGGAACCTGAAGTTCTTCAGAAAACAAAAGTTCCTTCAGGAAAATGTCAAGACATGAGAATAAGGTTCTTGTGATCACACTGTAAAGTTCAAGAAGCACAGACTTTAGAGAAAAACAGACAAGGCACTTAGTAGGTTGCTTCCTACATTTCCTAACCAAATCTGTAGTCTTCATTTCTGTTTATAAATAAATAAAACTATCTTCACTGAAAATTTTGATGTTTTGTACATCATGTAAGATGTGTATTAAAGTTTTAATCTTTTCGTATTTTGAAACTATATCAACATATTGTTATATTAAAAAATATAACTGGCTGGGTGTGGTGGCTCACATCTGTAATCCCAGCACTTTGGGAGCCTGAGGCAGGTGGATCACGAGGTCAGGAGATTAAGACCATCCTAGCTAACACTGTGAAACGCTGTTTCTACTAAAAATACAAAAACTTAGCCGGGCCTGGCAATAGGCACCTGTAGTCCCAGCTACTTGGGAGGCTGAGGCAGGAGAATCGCTTGAACTTGGGAGGCAGAGGTTACAGTAAGCCGAGATCATGTTACTGCATTACAGCCTGGGAGATAGAGCGACCCCGTCTCAAAAAAAGAAAAAACATACATATATATATATACACACACACACACACATATGTGTATATATATATAATTTATCCTGATTACTTTTTGTTGCACTAGCATACTATCTGCACTACAAATTGTTCAGCAAATGTTCTTGAGCAAATTGAATTTTGTAATAAAAATGATTCCTATACACAAGGATCTATCAATATAAAATGAGACAGTGTTTTGCAAAGAATAGTATGAATTTAATGTGTAGCAAATTAACTACTGGCAGTATTCCAAGTGATTGGAGTTGATGTATTTTAAATATAAATGTAAATAATATTTCAAAATTTTGAGTGATATACTTGTGATAAACATTCATATATACATATATATACTTATGATGCAAATATATGCCTATAGATGATTACATCCAATTTTAAATTTAACAGATGAGACTAAGAATGAGGCTTAAAGAAAAAATGTTTTTAAAAATTAGTAAGTGTAAAGAGACTATCAGGTCAATAACCTATGGACAGCACACAGATTGGGCAAGATATCTAAAACAAGTGCACAGATAACTGAAACTTGGGAATCTTCACAATAAACACAAACACTATAAGGTAAAACTGAAAAAAATATCATAAACACTCTACTAGATGTAGAAACCCTGAGCAGCAATAATTGAGAAAAAGGGGAAATTAATTCTAACAGGTGGGGATTTGGGAAACTGTAAGGAGGAAACGATTACTAAACTAGTCATTGAAGGTTGAAAAGAATGTCAAGAAACAAATTTGAGTCCATTGCCCAAAAATGTGAAGTTCAAACCGCAAGCTGCATTTTATTCTGTGATCTGATTCTGTTTCGCTCAGTGGGCCACATCTCTAAGCCATTCAGGAAGAGCTGGGTACATTTCTAATCCCCATGAAGAATTATTTGTGTTGCAGTTTAAGGTCACAGAGTTGATGACAATAATTTTCCACCTCTCCTTTAATATTGCCTGATTGTCTTCTAAATTTGTTTATGATGCATTTAAAGCTAAGAACTCAATTAAGAGTGTTCATACCCCACAGAAGTGTGATCAGCAGCACCTGGAAACAATAACCGTGCCTCCCCCCCCACACACACACCCTGTTTCTTGTAAATTTTATATCACAAAGTGAAAGTCAGTTACAGATCCATTAAGTGGGGGTTGTAATGGGAGAAAGAAGCAGAGAGCTCTATCTGGGTTGAAGAAGGTAAGTTGTATAAATCAGCACACCTTGCAGCTGAACATTTCTTTAAATAGCTGAACAGGAAAAGAACATGCTTGTTCTATTAATATCACCATCATTCCCTCCTGTCTTTAGTGGAAAACAGTCTGAGATGCTGGGTGGGGGAAATGCCATTATCTCGTGCCCAGATGCTGTCCATCCAGCCATGATTGTGCATCTGCCAATGTTGCAGTATTGAAATTGTCTCCGGGGCAGAACTTTCCTAGAGTATTCTTGGAATTTGTCTCCCCTATATTCCTATTTCACCAAATTTATGCATTTTGTATTTCAGTCTAATAGGTTTCCTTTCTCTCACCTGGAGACTCTGAGTTGACAAAATCTGAGGCTTGGTTTATTTTTCAGGTGGGAATATACAAGGCCACACTTGGTTAAGGCTTGTCTCAGTTTTAAAACTCCCCCCCGCCACCCGCCATGCCTAGAGATCTTACATAAAGTTTTAATTTAATTTATATGCTATTTTATTTAATATATAGGACATTGGTTGCAGAAAGCAAAATACAAGATATATCTTAGCAAAAAGAAAAATAAGTAGTCAAAATCACATAAACCAAAGATCACAGTTTTGGTGTGGAGACAGCCATATTTACAATGCCTTGTGTAAAACACCCTATGGTTGGATATGTTCCAGAATTTGTTTACATTTTAGAAAGTTAATTTTGACTGTATTCATTATATGGCACATCACCAGCAGCAGATTCTGGGGAAGAATTTATGAAAACTATGAATATTCACATTATGTGGAACCAAGGTTTAGAAATAAATTCATGTCAGTTCAGCTTAGGTTTTGTGGTCAAATGTGTTTGGCAACAAATATAAAAAGTACATTTAATTTTATGACTGTTTTGAATTTCCAAATTGAACAATTGATGCTCACATTATTCCTACTCTCTAAACTTCTTTTCTGCATAAGTATATTATGAACAGCTTTTAATGTGAAAGAAATATACATCTCCATCACTAAATATTACACTTTCACTGTTAAAATTTTAATACATATTTTAAAATGCAAATTATACAGAAATGCAAAACAAAGAAACAAAGATGCTAAGTACCATTTCATACCACCTCCAGAGATAATCACTATTAGCCAGTATATGCCCTTCTTAGCCCCCATTTTATTTCTACACAATGTTATACAAAATTATTTATTTAAAAAATTAGAATAATAATATACACACCATTCTGAACTCTGGTTTCTCCTGATCATATATTTTAAAAATACTTTCATGTTATTAATAAAGATCTTCATTCTTATGAATGACTTCATAATAGTAAATTTAATGGGTAGATTTTTCTCCCTCCTCTTTTCATTCCATTCTTCTGTTGACAATTATTTATTGTTTTAACACTGTTTTAACTGCTAGGAATATGGAGAGAATAAATCTGACCATTCCTGAATTTAGCATACACAGGTTATGAAGGAGAAAGACAATGAACAAGACACAAAAACACAGTATATAGGTATGCTAAACAATAAGAGAGAAACTGAATCATTCAGAGTATAGGAAATAGCAACCTGGGCTACAAAATTTAGACAGGATATTCAGGGACGCAGAATGGCTGCCCTTACAAGGTGAATTTGAGTGAAGTCTTGAAATAGAGGATAAGTGAGGGTGTGAGTTAAGCAGGTATCTGGGGGAAGAACAGACTCCAGTCAAGGGAAATATCAAGTGCAAATATTTTGATGCAAGAACAGGCCTGGAGTACTGTGGTAACAAAAAGGAAACCAGCATGACCGGAGTCAACTAAACAGAGCAGGAGAAGAGCAAGATATGTCAGAGATGGAATGAATAACCAGATTATACTGGGCCTTAAAGACCATCAGAAAGCATTTGAATTTTACTGTAAACAAGATGATAACTTTTTGGAGGATTTGGAGAAGATAAATGACGAATCTGAACTTTAAAAGGCCACTCAACATTTAATGCACTGAGAATACAGACGAGTGCCATAGCAGAATTTGGAAAACCATTTTCGGAGGTGATTGCAATCATTCAGCTGAGAAATGTCTTGGATGAGTGATAGCAGTGGAAGTGAGAAGGGGTCATGTTACGTACACATGTTGAAGGTCTCAATAACAGGATTGTTAAGGAATGGATAGGGTGTGCAAGAAGAAGAGAGATGCCAAGCACTCAAGATATTTGGCCTGAGCCTTTGAAAGAACAAAGTTGCTGTTAGCTGAGATGGAGAAGTATGCTAGAGGGACTGGCTTGGGAGAGAATATAAGTAGTTCGCATATGACAGTATTAAGTTTCAGATATCTGTGGTACATTCATGTGGGGATGTCAAATTAGCAGTTGGACTGAGGGAAAGGTCTGAGCTACAAGTATAAGTTTAGGAGTTACAAACATTTAAATAAGCTTAAGAGGTATGGAGCTAGATGAGATTCTTAAAGACAGAGTTAAAATTAAGAAGAAAGATTTTATTAAATAATTGTCCAATTTTTTGGATGTACAGTTGTTTCATTTAACCATGGATATAAAAATGGAAAAACTGTTCTATGTGTATATTTGAACACATGTATGATTGTTTCCTTAGGTCAACCTTCTTCATGCATAATTACTCGGTCAAAGACACCTGTAAACAAATGGAAGTAAACATGGTTAATGATGCATCATTGATGGGGGTACATTCCTTTTCTGTGAACACAAGGAGTAGAGTTTATGATGATGTCTGAAGAGTTGAGGATGGTTTCTATGAGGAGATTATGTTTAAACTACATCCTAAAGGCTGCAAAAAATTTTGCACAAGACAAGTGGTAGAATGGGAAAGCACATTCTAGGTACAAAGGAACATAATATGAACAAATATGGCACGAGGAAGAAATATGTAAAATGTTCTATAAATAACTAAATGTCCACATTAAGAAAGCACATGCCATCTGGAGAGCGAAACAACACAGGAGTAGGAGTTGACTCAGGGATTTTTACATTCCAAGTAAATTTTTGTTATGTTCTGGAAGTATAATACAACTAGACTGTAGAGGTATCGAGGTATCTAGGCAAGGGAAGGTGATTTCATTAAATATCTATTTGTGCATGATAATGCTAAACAAAATGCAGCTCCATTGGAAACATGAGGAGTTAAATCCAGTTGGAAAGAACTGAGTCAGGGAGGTCCAGGTTTTAGGTCTTGGAGTAGCCCCCTTCAGAGATACAAAGAGAAGGGTTAGGGCTACTAAAGAGGGGTGCATTGACTTGAGAGCTGTTTGTAACATTACATCTAGATCTGAACTTTCATTAATGCCCATTCGTCAGTGCAGTGAGCTGGAGTTTCCTGCCCCATCTCAGTGATTCAGTGCCACTCGTAGCCAAAGCAGGTGTCTTAAATGTAAGAAAAGTTATTCTGATGCATGAATCATCTGAATTAGAGATGTAATTTTTGTTTTGTAAGTCAGAGCTTTATTTTCAAGTACATATAGTAATTATGAGGGAACTTGTGCAATAGAGATAATTGTGGACTGTGATCCTAGTCAGGCCCTTGCCCTGCAGCTCCCATTTACCATCTATATAATTAGCTTTGACAAGTCATCAAGAGTGTCTGAGCCTCCTTTTCTTCACGTCTGAGGTATATTCTATGAATTTCTATTTCAGGTAACTTTGTTGTAGAAATCATTTGAGAGATATATAGGACGTTCCTTGTAATGAACTCTACAAATGTATGGTCTTCCACTGAACGAGGTTAAAAAAATTATCTTAGCCACCTCACAATTTTTTTGAAACAGGGTAGTATATCAAATAACAAAATAAAGTGCTGATTAGTAGAGATTTTTCAGGGGCTCTGATTCAGTAAAATATGTGAATAAAATCACAAGTCAATATTAATTAGAAACACCTTGTTCACAAATTTTAAAACACATATTCTTCTAATATTATTACATTATTTATCTTATCTAACCATGGCTTCATAAACATGGTAAAGTAAATTTTACTGAATTCTAACAAAATCTGAATTAATGACTTTTAAATATTTAATCAGTCCATTTTGTGGACTGACATTTTTATGTTGGTTAACTTTCTCTTATAGTCCTATTTCTTGCATGTTCAGTTTTTGGCAGGCAGTCTTCTTTTGAAATAGAAACTTATTCAGGGAAACTAAGACCTTCTAACACAGAGGACAGGAACCCTCTCACGTTAAAGATGTAAAGTATATACATTCAGATGGTATATGGAGAGAGACAAGAACTAGAAGCTTGAGTTGGGTTTTCTGTCTCTTGCAATATAACGAACTCTAGTTCATAAAGGCTCTTTTAAAGGCCTGTGATCTGTTTCTGGTGTAAAGTCTATGATTCTTACTCTATTTGCTTCTTTTGTTTTTAAATTTTCATTCAACAAACTTATAATAAGCATTGGTCTGGGATGGACCATTTGATATCCCTGAATATATAAAGACAGTCTTTTGGACTCAGGGAGAGGAGCATCACACACTGGGGGCAGTTGGGTGAGGTAGGGGAGAGACAGTGGGGGTAAAGAGGGAGGGGAGGACGGGGAGGGATAACATGGGGAGAAATGCCAGATATAGTATGCACCTAAAGTAAAATAAATAAAGTTAAAGAAAAGACAGTATTTTCCTCAAAAGTTGTAGCTTTCTACTCTCCTCCATAAAACTATAAATTCTTGTAGCGGAGAACTGTATCATTCCAAAGCACACAGAAAAATAATAGGACTTTAGTAGATGCTCAATAAATTATCCCTGCTCTTTGTTCATATCGAAGATTGACAAGCTTTTCCTGCTTTTAAATTAACATACATCTCTGATTGGTTCATGATCCTAGCAGCATTCATGAAACAGATAATTTATGGCCTTTTTTTACATTAGCTTATGTATTACCTAGTCTTCTCCAGGCACTCAAATGACCTCAATTCGATGAATTTAATGAATTCAGTGAATTCATTGAATTCAACTAATGCTTACTAAGATTATTTTTGAATAATATTATATGCAATATTTGGGGGAAAACAACTTTAAACATTTTCCTGACATCAAAAAGAACAGAAGCTAGTGCAGAAAACTTTTCTTGTCACCTAAAACAACACTAAATGTTAAACACTCTACTACAGTCATAAAGGTATTCTAGGAGATGCAAAATAAAACGGGCAGGAAGGACAATTAAATGCGGTAAGATCCAGTAAAGACTATTATGTAGCAGATGCAGCCTGCAAACTCTTAACTGAGAGAATCAGGGTAGGCCATGGTTAAGCCTTTGGACTTTTGGAACTTTCCATGATCAGGTTTAAGTTCCTGCTTAGTGCTCCGTAGATGTAGGTAAAGTTACTGTTCCTCTCTGTACCTCAGTGCCCTCATCTATAACATGTAGATTATGGTCATCCCAGCTACCCATGGTTGACTTAATGTTAAATAAGACAGTATATAAGGTTCTTAATGCACTATCTGATGTGTATTAAAAACTAAGTAAGTGGAACTTATTGACATTGCCTTAAACTGGAACATCTTACCAGTTGATTTGTCTTCTGCTTTCTCTTTGTATGTTGTAAGACCCTTGCCCTTCCAGCATTGTGCTAGAATCAGAGAAGAAAATATCAGACAAAGGCTATTTCTCTTACATCGTCGAACCAATGCAGAAGAGAAGAGTTAAGAAAATGACCCAAGGAAACCTCTCCACAGGAGATTCCCAACTCAGTTTGGGGGTCTTTTGGATGTTCAGAACACTTCTCAAAGTTTATGTTGTGAGGATTTGGCTTCCTTGAATCAAAGAGAAACTCAAAACTGTTTAGCATTCAGAAACCAGCTCCAGCTGTTTCCTCTTAAAACAAGTTATTCACTTTCTCCTTCTGTTATCTTGATGGCCTTTGTCCCACTTTGATAGTGTGTCTGGTAGCCTGGGTCATGCCTCCTCTGTATTCTTCACAATGCCAGAAACAGTGCGGCAGTTCATCAAAAGTTGCAACAATTGGGTCTCCAGTCATTTGAAATCTTTAAAAAGTTTGAACATACTTACTGAACTTTTCCTTTATTTATAGAAAGGGAGGATGCTAAAAATAGTGCACATTCATTTACTTATTCACTCACTCACTCATTCACCCATTCATTACTCATTAGGTAAAATGAGCCTCAAATGGAACAAAGCTCCCTCGCATTTGCCTGGCATGATGGAGATTCCAAAATGTCTCACAGGTTTACATCCAATTCAATAATCATTATGTAGTTGTGAGATAGTACGGATTGACAGTTCACTACCCTATCATCTCCCACCATGCCTGGCACATGGTAGATTTTGTTCAATATATTATTTGTCAACTGACAATGGAAAAAAATCACTTAAATTCTCTGATTCTCAGTTTTTACATCATAAAAAGAAAATCACTAACATTGACCTCTCAGGACCATTCTGAAGATTCAATGAGAATTTATAGGACCTTGAAGACCTGCCACTTGCTTGCAATTGAACACAAATCAGAACACCCTGAAGAAAATAAAGACTTGGAAATACGATAGATCAAATCATTTACTGATAATAAGCCATGAAATTAACCAATGATGGATGAGTAAGAACATATCTAGTAACTTTAAAAATACAGAATTGTCCCAAATCAGTTCAGTAATCTAATGGAAGATAAAAATCTAACTACAGAAAAGAGGGATAAAAATAGTTTGAAAGCATTCTGCAACGGAAATACGGAGCAATCATTAGACTAGTTCTGCCCAGGAAAGAACATTCTCTAGTCTAAAAATAGAATCTGTCTGATTCTATTTGCTGAAGTATGCCTATTGTGGAGATGGACACATCATGGTCTATTAAACTGAAGCAATTATGTATTTGCATCATATAAACTCATCTGCCTTGTTTCAATCCTGTGCTGATCAAGCATACTTACTGCTAATTTATCTTTCCACTTATCTGGTCCATAGGGAGAGAATGTACTGCCCAATGCCCAACCTGACATAAAACTCAATCTACATTTGATTTATATTTCTTAGTATAAATTAGTACATTGTTATTCTGGTTTTCTTCATCAGCCTCTCATGAGTTTGATAGTGTGAGCCAGCATTCATTCCTGTATCTGATAAACTCAGAAACACTTTTAACAATGAATTGTCTAAGACAGACCAATCAAGGGTCTTCCCATGGATGGATTTGGATCTACCAATACGGTAGCACACCATGAGGTCTTGAAATAACCAGGCAACTAAACTTTGCCAACTAAACTCCTCTAATGTATTTCCTTTAAACTCTATAGCACCCAGTGGATGGTTGTTATATTTTCCATGTCTATAGTGTACTTTTCCTTGCTGTCTTACTAAGGAGAAATTAATTTACTGGGAAATAAATCTATTTACTCCAGGTTTTATAGTCAGAGATCCTGCTCTGTAAAAAGGAAGACGAGGAACATGACTGGCTTTCAGAAGTTCATAAATGAAGTAAAAAGGAACTATTTGAAAGGTGCTATATTTCTCCCTTATTAAATTATAAAATATGAAAAAGAAGTCAGATTCTCTAGCTGAAGACGAAATGTATAGTTCAATTTATCTTCACTTTATCTTTTCTCCACTGTTATCCAAACTGGAATTAAAACTAAGGAGAAAAAGGTTAAACTTGAATGTTTACCCAGTGATGCTGAGTTTTGTTGCTTACCATATCTTCTACTAGCTTCTTTTGCCAGTATTGTATTTTTATTGAGGGCACAAGAATACTGTGCTACATCATACTAAATAAGCACTGGCAGGTGACATAATTGTTTACATAGAAAATCCTAAGGTTAAAAAATGGCCATTAGAATTAAAAAAAAATTTTATTAAGGTTTGAAGATGGAAGTAATTTAAATATCAGTTGCATGTTACATAATAGCAGCAAAAACTGGAAATGAAAATAAAACTAATGCATTTACAATAACATCATTTAAACAAATCAGGTATACTTTTATCAAGAGTTGTGTAAGACTTATACATTGAAACCTAAACAACATTGGTGATGGGAATTTAAAAACACCTAAATAAGTGGAGAGTTATATGTCCATGGATTGGAATCTCAATATTTTTAAAGTATCAATTCTCCTCGAGTAACTCCAGCAGATCATTTTGTGGAAATTGAGAAGCATATTTTCAAAATTATATGAAAATGCAAAAGACCTGGAACACAAAAAACAATGTTGGGAAATAACAAAGTTGGAAAGCTTATACCACCTGACTTCAAAACTTACCATAATGCTATACTTAAGATAGTGCAGTACTGGAATAAGGATTAGCAAGTAGGTCAATGGAATAGAATAAAGACTCAGAAACTGACTGACACTTGTATCACTATACCATTATTTCATTGTTAATAAAGGCAACCAAACAACCTAATGCAGACAAAAAGCATTTTTTCAAGAAGTCATGCATCATGAGGTATTTATATAAAAAAAAAATTCTCAACTACTTTGCACCATACACAAAAATTAACTCATGAAGAATCACAAATACAAATATAAGAGCTAAAATATCACAAAGCTTTTACAATGAAGCATAGGAGCAGATTGTCACAACATTCAGGTGAGCAAATGTGTGTGTGTGTGAGTGTGTGGGTGTGTTTTAGGCGAGCCATGGTGGTGGTGCAGGGGGTGAGAAAAAACATGAAGAAGAAATTGGGCTGGGTGAGGTGGCTCATGCCTGTAATTCCAGCACTTTGGGAGGCCAAGGCAGGCAGATCACCTGAGTTCAGGAGTTTGAGACCAGCCTGGCCAACATGGTGAAGCCCTGTTTATACTAAAAATACAAAAAATTAGCCAGGCATGGTGGCACAAGCCTGTAATCCCAGCTACTTGGGAGGCTAAGGCATGAGAATCCCTTGAACTCAGGAGATGGAGGTTGTAGTGAGCCGAGATAGTTGCACTGCACTCCAGCCTGGGTGACAGTGTGAGACTATGTCTCAAAAAGAATAAATTAATAACTCAGACCTCATCAAAATGTAAAACTTCTCTACAGCATATCATTAGAAAAAACAAGCAATCCATTAAAAATAGACAAATTCTATACACAGATCTCACAAAGAAGGGCATACATTGGCCAGAAGGCACATGAAAAAGTTTTCAACATTATTAGTCATCAGGAAATGCAAATTAAATGCACAGTAGATATTATTATATAGCCACAAGAATGGCTAAAATTAAGGAGTAAAACACCAAATGTTGATGATGATGTAGAGCAAGTGGTACTCTCAAACATTTTTGGTAGAAATATAAATGGTAGAGGCACACTGAAGAACAAATATCTAGCACTTCCTTATAAAAATAAACACCTAAGAAGGGAAGCATGAGTGAACTCTCTGGGGTCAGGATAATACAGTATTTTGTCTCGATAAAAGTTTACATACAAAGGTATATTAATGTGCACATTTTATTGTATATAAATTTTATATAGAAGTATTACATAAAAGTAAAAACATTTGTTTTACTGTTAACAAATATAAAACTCTAGATAATATACATACTAAGTATTTAGGGCTAAATGCATGGATGTCTGTAATTTACTTAGAAGTGCATGAAAAAAATAAAATAAAATTGATTAATGAATGGGTAGAAGGATGATGGAACAATCAAGGTGGAAAGTATATGGATATTTATTTAAATTCTTTTAGATTGGCGGGATGCGGCTCACACCTGTAATCCCAGCACTTTTGGAGGCTAAGGTGGGTGGATCACGAGTTCAGGAGACTGAGACCATCCTGGCTATCACAGTGAGAACCCATCTCTACTAAAAATACAAAAAAATTAGCCGGGCATGGTGACATTCACCTGTAGTCCCAGCTATTAGGGAGGCTGAGGCAGGAGAACAGCATAAGATGAGGAGATGATTTAGGCCCTAAAAGAGGAGAGAGAGAATCTTCAGTTCTAAAAGTTTGTTCTCACTGTACTTTTTATCCTGTCTTTGGATGAAAGTAATTTCCCTAACATTATTCCCATTGCTCCCATCCCCATTACCACGTATACCCACCACCCGCTTATGTTACTTTCAATTAATGGTCATTTGTTCTAACAACAACAAAACTTCAACAAACCTAGAAAGAATTCAGATTAGCTCACTTAGGGTCACACATCATGCTAAGAAGTTTAGATTTTACTCTAACATCAAGCTTCTAGATCAGTTGTCTCTTTCTTTTTATTTTTCAATATTTTATTATGGAAATTTTTGATCACACAGTAAATTTGAAATTTATTTTGTTTTATTTTTTGAGACAGAGTTTCACTCTGTTGCCCAGGCTGGAGTCCAGTGGCATGATCTCTGCTCACTACAACCTCCACCTCCCGGGTTCAAGCTATTCTCCTGCCTCAGCCTCCTGAATAGCTGAGACTATAAGTGAATGTCACCATGCCCAGCTAATTTTTTTGTATTTTTAGTAGAGATGGGTTCTCACTGTGATAGCCAGGATGGTCTCAATCTCCTGAACTCGTGATCCACCCACCTTAGCCTCCCAAAGTGCTGGGATTACAGGTGAGCCACCACACCCCACCAATCTGAAACAGTCTTGCTCTGTAGCCCAGGCTAGAGTGCAGTAGCATGATCTTAGCTCACTGCAACCTCTGCCTCCTGGGTTCAAGCGATTCTCCTGCCTCAGCAGGAGAATCTCGAGTAGCTGGGATTACAGACATGCACCAACATGCCCAGCTAATTTTTTCTATTTTTAGTAGAGATGGGGTTTAGCCACGTTTGCCAGTCTAGTCTTGAACTCCTGGCCTCAGGTGATCCACCGCCTTGGTCTCCCAAAGTGCTGGGATGACAGGTTAAACAACAATATAATTTAAAGGAGTACATATTTTCAGCCATTTTACAAGAAGCCGTTGAGTTGTGGGACACACTGCCTATAGAATTGATTTGTAGTTAGACATCCACTGAAAGCAAGTAAATGCCATTACATATTATTTTAAAACTGAAACATACGACTTCTGTGTAAGCACAGTTATCAGATCCCATATCCTTCAGATGTGCACTCCTGGCTGACTTTGGACCAGTGGAGCCAGCAGCACACGAAGGGATTAGAACCTGGTCATGTGCCTGTCACTTTGGTTACTCATTAACAGTTGTTGGGTCAAGCCAGCTATCAGAACTTGAAAGCACAAAGACATCTGCACTTAAAAGAAAGCCCTGCTATGGGTATCTTCCCCAGGTCCTTTGAAACAACATTCAAGATAGACATTTCAGGCTGGGTGTGTGGCTCACACCTGTAAACTCGGCACTTTGGGAGACCGAGGTGGGTGAATCACAGGCCAGGAGTTCAAGATCAGTCTGGCCAACATGGCAAAACCCTGTCTCTACTAAAAATACAAAAATTAGTTGCACATGGACTCGGGAGGCAGAGGCAGGAGAATTGCTTGAACCCAGGAGGCACAGTTTGCAGTGAACCAAAACTGCCCCACTGAACTCTGGCCTGGGCAATAGAGCAAGACTCCATCTCAAAAAAAAAAAAAAAAAAAAAATAGGCATTTCAAAAATAATTTGAATGATGTTTAGAAAAGAGGAGTAAGGTACATTCCAAAAACATCCTCTCCAAAGATTGAGACCCACAGTGCCCCTACCCAAGGCATAGGTGTTAACTTAGTGGCACATTGTAAGTGACAGAGAGTAATTCAGGAAATGAATTTGTCTATTGTTAGTGACTATTCAAAAAGACTAAGGCTGTATCTTTTGCCACAAAGTCTTTAGATGGCAGAAAACATAACAGGTTATGCAAAATGATGAAGTCAGACGACTTTGGAAGAATACAACTTGCTTCAGGTATGAAGTTCATCTGTATCTAGAGAGCTGGGATCGGTGAATTAAATCACCATGAATGGGGGTCAGTGACCTTTTGAGGCATGACTGCCACTAATGGTGCTAAGTAAGATCTGCGGATGTCACCAGCAGACAGACCACAAAATCAGTGGGTCAAGACCTGAATAAATCTAATCCAGTCCAGATTTTTTTTTTTTTTTTGCAGATGAGGAAATGAATGCCTCAAAGGCTGATGCTCCCGGTCACAGAAGTGGTTAATGGTGTCCCTGGAATCAGCACACAGGCTTCTTGACTCCTGGTCTAGGGATCTTTGGCACTCGAATCAAGGAGAGGAAGAAAAAAAGAACAGGTAACTAAAAGAAAAGGAAAGAACTGAAGGAGAAAGATAACAAGCAAGAGAAAAGAAAGGAAAGGGAAAGAGAAAATAAAAACAAGTTTTGCAGGGCAGGCTGACATCCACCTTGGATTGTCTTACTTCCATGTTGGGAATGAAGACTGCCTGCATGCAAGCAGCTAGGCCTGGGGCTACAGTGGTCATCTAGGGTCTCTTTCATATATTTAACTTAAAGTTTTGAAAAGAGACTAAGCTGGAACCGTAAATAAGGAATAGGGAGGGCAAAGAGGAGTGAAGTGCCCCTCTGCCATTCTATTCTGATGGGTCCTGGGACAGAAGATCCGTTGCAGGGCAGGGGTCAGGGTACATGGGATGGGGATGCATGGGGACTTCTGATGTTTCCTTTGGATTCTTTTCTTTTGGATTCTTTCTGATGTTTCCTTTGGATTCTATTCTGCTTCCTTACCAGGACTTCCCTTAGAAAAGACTGGGTGTGTTCAGGGTGGTATGGCCAATGACAGGACTTCCTTTAGAAAAGTCATGTCTTTTTCTTTTCTTGAAGAGGAAGGTGTTATGTAAATGAGTCAAAGATTGTCTCAGTGTATTAGCCCCTGGGTTGTTTATTTCTTCACTGTAGACTGATGCTGATTCCCTTAGCTCACACCAAACTCAAATTTTACCATATCCAGTCATTTAAAAAATAGCCTAAATAAGCAGATTTTCATCCATTTAGTGCCTGCCTGCTTTGCAGACCCTATAAAGCCTCACTGGACAGCTGTTTCCTACTGATAAGATAGAGCCTTGCAGATACAGAGCCCTAAGCTGCTACCACCCTTGGAGCTCAGAGACTCCCCACTGTGCTGCAAAGCAGCCTCACCTAGATCTGCAAGTTTCGCCCTAATCCTCTTCTCCCCTGGGAGCTCCCCGGCTCCTCTGGATGGTGCCCTCCTCACTGCTAGCCTATGGCTACTCTCATGCTGGGAGGGACTTCTGCTCTTATGTAACCCTGTCCAAGTGCTGCTCAACAAAGCTTGTATATCACTGCCTTTTTTTTTTTTTTAGATAAGTTTTACTCTGTTGCCCAGGCTAGAGTGCAGTGGCATGATCTCGGCTCACTGCAACCTCTGCCTGCCGTGTTCATGCAATTCTTCCTTAGCCTCCCGAGTATCTAGGATTACAGGTGCCTGCACCATGCCTGGCCAATTCTTGCATCTCTAGTAGAGACGGGGTTTCACCATGTTGGGCAGGCTAGTCTCAAACTCCTGACTTCATGAGCTGCCTGCGTCAGCCTCCCAAAATGCTGGGATTACTACAGGTGTGAGACACCGAGGCTGGCTGTCACTGCCTTTTATAGTCCTATCCTTTTCCTTGATTAGCCCTCAAATCCCTCAAACCGCCTAAGGGGGAGCTTTCTTATTTTAAAACTGAGGAAATTAAGACCCATAAAATTGGAAAGACTTACTTAAGTCTTTCCAAGTCACTAAGTCACTAAGTGACTAACCATAAACAACCTGGTGGTAATGCTGGTGATGGAGAGGTGGTAATGGTGGTGACAATGGTGATGGTGGAGGTGAAGGAGGAGGTCATGGTGGAGCTAATGGTGGTAATGGTGGAGGAGGGAGTGATGGTGGAGGAGCTGGTGATTCTGGAGGTGATAGGAAAGGTAATAATATTGGTAGAGGTGGGGAGTGGTGATGGTGACGGTGCAAATGATCGGTGGTGGTGATGGTGAGAAGATGGTGATGGTGGGGGTGGAGGAGGTTGTGATGGTAGAGCAGGTGGTGATGGCAGAGGTGGTAGGAGGTGGTGATGCTGATGATGGAAGTGCTGGTGATAGTCGAGGTGGTAGGAGGTGTGACAGTTGAAGAGGTTGTGGTAGTGGAGGAGATGATGATAATAGAGGTGGTGATGGTGCAGGTGGAGGAAATAGTGATTATGCTGGTGGTGGGATGTGGTGATGGGGAAGACAGTGGTGATGGAGGATGTGGTGATGGTGATGGTGGAGGATGTGGTGGTAGAGGTGGTGGTGATGGTGGTAGGAGGTGGTGATGGTGCAGGTGGAGGAGGTAGTGATTATACAGGTGGTGGGATGTGGTGACTGGTGGTGGAGGTGGTGGGAGGTGGTGATGATGGAGGAGGTGATGGTAGAGGTGATGAGAGGTAGTGATGGTGCAGGTGGAGGAAGTAGTGATTATGCAGGTGGTGGGATGTGGTGATGGGGAAGATGGTGGTGATGAAGGAGGAGGTGATGGTGGAGATGGTGATGGTGGAGGATGTGGTGGTGGTGGAAGTGGTGGTGATGGTGAAGGTGGTGGTGATGGAGGAGGTTGTGATGGTGAAGGAGATGGTTATGGTAAAGGTGGTGGGAGGCAGTGATGGTGCAGAGGGGGAGGTGGTGATTATGCAGGTGTTGGGATGTGGTGATGGTGAAGGAGGTGGTGATGGTGCTGGTGGAGTAGGTGGTGATGGTGGACATGGTGGGAGGTGGTGATCGTGGAAGAGGTGGTGATAGTGGGCATGGAAGGTAATGACCATGCTGGTGGCTGGTGGTGGTAGTAGCAGTAATGATGGTACTAGGGGCTAGAGCAGGAATATGGAAGGAGAGGAGCAGCAACAATAATGGCTATCTATATTACTATAGTTAGGGTAGTTTGAGGAAGACAGTGCATGAAGAATGCCACTCAAAAATGTGGGGGATGGCACTGATAGATGCAGCTGGCTTATGAAATATTTGCTTTGTGCTCAGTGAAATTAAATCCCTTTGAATGATTTTATTTAGGACCACTTTAAAGGGTTCTTTCAAGTCAGAACATCACAATAGCAATTTAATTAATTACCCTAATACGTGAAAAGAGGCCTCAGACTGGGTGCTCGAGGACTAGTCAAAGATTAAATGTATTGTAGAGCCATGTTAATTTTTTATTAAATGTTAAATTGAAGATTCAGATCATATCACAAATTTTAATTCCCACAGATGAACTTGTTGACCCTTCTACATTGGGTTGGTAAATGCTCCAGGAATCAAGGTAAACCAGCATGTCTGAGAAATGTCCATGGCACAGACATGACAGATACACTGCAGAACTCAGGGATGTGCAGGGTTCATGCTAACTCGGTAACAAATAAGACGGCATACCATGGCAATGAACATTACGTCATATGAGAAGAAACAAAATGGCTCACTCTTCGGGACACTCACCTGGTTGCAATAATGCCTGATGAGGGTAAACACAAAGCCCTGATCCATGAGGGAGAGAAGGTCATACAAGAAGAAAGCCAGGCTGATGTTCATCTTTTCTGCCTGTTCATTTTCCTCAAAAATAAACAAATGCCCAAATCATTTTGTGGTACACTCTGGATTTGAACTCCCAGGTCACTGGTGGGAAAGTTGGGAGACACAGGTCCTACTATTTCAGCCACTGTCCCTCTGGGTAACACTGGGCAAAGTATTTAAGTCTTTTTTAACTAAAGCCATGACTGTGAGGTTGAATCAAGTAATTATTCATGTATTGTTAATATTTAGGTGCATTTCCTTCCAGTCACTTTTTCTATAAGCATATTTATGTATGTATAATTAAGCTGATTCTCTATATACTACATTGCATCCTAAATTTTTGATATCCTGGTAACTATTTTTTAGGTAACTATTAGCTTTTTTTCTTTTGCAAACTGACTGGAAAAATATTTATTCTCTTCAATGAGACAGTTTCTTTCTTTTTTTTTTTTTTAGTTTCTTAATTTTTAAGAATTATTACAGAAAATCCAATCAGGATAAAATAGTTTTTAACCTAAGAATTTTTTCCCCAGTTAGGCAGCATTTCCAGCCTAAGAGAGGTCAGAGTCATATTTCACAGGGTGAATTACTCCATGAACCCCAATTAATAAGCTAGGTCTATCTAAACAAATTTTTAATTTGTATTATTTCTCAGTGCTCATATTTATGGGGATTTTACAGTGCTGCAGAGCAACCTGGGATTCAGTTTTTCATATTTATGTCCTTTATTCTCAGAATGATGAACTAATTTCCTCTGACACCATAAAAAATATGGTATGAAACTACTTTGCTCTTTGTTATAATGCGATTTGCAAATTTAGGCCATGCTGACCGGTCAAGTCACTGGGATGGATGGGGATCTGATAAAGAGGTTGTCACAGTGCTGCTGAGACACCCTCAAACTCTCTCTGCATCCTCCATGTGGCCACTCCTCCTGGGTAGCTGACATGACTCAATATCCAGGTTTAAAATCTCCAGCCTTGGCTTTACTACTGGCTGTTTGACTTTCAGAAAATGTGTCAACATCACTGAGCCTTATTCTCACATCTGCCAATATTCTCACACCTACCATTGCTGTTCCAACAGTTTGCCCTGAGGAATAACCAAATGAAAACCTCCGGAGCACTCGGTACTATGCAAATTTTCTCAGTAATGACAAAGCTATTAATAATAAACATTGCTTCCTAAGATTTTGTAGATACTTTTTAAAAATTTGATTTATTTCATTTAATATATTATTTTAGCTTTTATTTTGAAACAATTTCAAACTTGGTGCAAGAATAGTACAAAGAACTATCATATACCCTTTAACCAGGCTTATCAATACTTGACATTTCACTATATTTTTTCTATCAGTCTATAAATATAAAAACATTTTTTTTCCTGAACCATTGAGAATGGGTTGCTAATATCATACCCGTTTACCTCATAATACTACAAGGTGTATGTCCTAAGAGCAAAAATATTATCTTTCATATCTATATTAATTTTTAGACGGACTCTCACTGTCACCCAGGCTGGAGTGCTGTGGCACCATCTCAGTTCACTGCAACCTCTGCCTCCTGGGTTCAAGTGATTCTCCTGCCTCAGCCTCCTGAGTAGCTGGGATTACAGGCATGAGCCACCACACCCGGCTAATTTTTTTTTTTGTATGTTTAGTAGAGACGAGGTTTCAGCATGCTGGTTTCGAATGCCTGATCTTAAGTTATCTTACCTCCCAAGTAGCTGTGACTACAGGTATGTGCCACTATACTCTGCTAATTTTGATTTTTATTTTTGTAGAGACAGGGTCTCTTTATGTTCCCTGGGCTGGTCTCCAACTTCTGGCTCCAAGTGATCCTCCTCTCTCAGCCTCCTCAAGTGCTGGGATTGCAGATGTGAGCCACTGCACCCAGCATAGCATGTTTTATTTTGGATTCCACTGCAGTGGAGTGGAGGTGGCGACGCCCTGCCCGCCAGAGTCCCACACTCAGGGCATCTCTACCTGACTTGGGCATGTCCCTTTGTGGCTCCGGCAGGCGGAAGATGTAGTGCACGTAGGAAGCCAGCAGGCAGTTCCTCCCGTGCTGGTTCTTGCTCAGGTCCTTGCTGTTGTGCAGACTGTTGGCGACGGCCACCACGGACTCGAAGGCAAACTGGGAGAAGTTGGCTGAGGAACCAAGAGAAAAATGGGTAGCCCCACAGCTGCTCCTTAAGGGGCCCGTGGTGGAAGTCTCTCCAGGACGGTGACAATGAGTCCCGAACAGTGACCAACACAGCTAGGCCCGGGAAGGGTAAATGGTTTTGGTGAGCTCTGGCACACTGGCTCTAGTACCACAGATGCCTCACATTCCCTCCTTGACCTTCCTCCTCCTGCCACTGAGTAGCATTGATGGTTTTTAACGACAAAGCCGTAAGACCGTCCTGACGTCCTCCCTCTCTAAGGCATGATGTAAACTGACGCTGCTCAGTGGGAGCTGCAGACTGACATGACCACTATCACCTGGTTGCTTACTTAGAAATGCAGACGCTCAGGCCCCACTCTAAGGGGTGTATTTATCAGGCTCTGCATCGTTACAAGATGCCCACGTGACTGCGGTGCACACTGTGTTTGAGATGTGCTGTACAACCCTGATTCTTGTACAGATTAACCTAAAACTGTATGCATATCAAGTCATTCCCCCAGTGGGACCACACACATTTGATTTACTGCATAGACCCTCTCGTTCTGCTGCCCCAAGCCTCTGTAGTTTGGCTCCAGTCTACTTATTCAACCTTGTACCCTGTTTGGCTCAGATTCAACTTCCCTTAAAATGAGGCAGTGATCACATTGCCCCATCATGTCTGCTCTTACCCCCGAGACTTTGCTCATGCTGTTGTCGTCACCTAGAAAGCCCTCCTCACTCCCATCCACAAAGTCACACCAACCCTGTGAATCTCAGGGCAGATCCCACATCCTCCACGAAGTCTTCTGACTCCACACAATACAGGGCTCAAGTGAAACTGAGTCACGTGATTCTCCAGCTATTTCTGCTGGTAAACTGTCTCTCTGTGAAAGGTGGAATCCTTCCCAGGCAAGTTGCATTTCTCATATTTTTTGTGCCCCCACTGCTCCTTCCACTGCATAGACACAGAATAGGTTGTGAATACATGCTTGTGGACTAGCTGCCTCCCCTCACTCTGCCTGTGCCAACACCCCGTGGTCCCCACACCACAAGGTGGCAACTTGCTATGGAGAAACAGCTCAAAACATACAAATATTTTGTCTAGTGAACAAGTCTGTATTAAGTAGCTGAAACATACAAAGCAGTGTGCCACATACGTGAGGGCATAGAAAGCAATCGAGGGAGGGCAGAGCTCTGTAAGAATCTAGTTGGAAGATCAATCCAAGATGGCCGACCACTAACAGCTCAGGATTGTAGCTCCCAGTGAAAGCTCAGAGAACGAGACAACGCCACATCTTTAGATGAATTTTCGTCACTTACCGATTAGCCGATTCCCAGTGGAGGAGCCCCACAGGTCGCCAGCGTGACTCTTGTGGCCGCCGCAGCAGTTTTGCCGGCGTCTCGGCGCAGCAGCTCTTCATGCAGAGCCAACGGGACTGCTTCCCCTACTGACCAGAGTTCGGAGCTCCGGGAAGTCAGAGCCGCTTGTTGCGGACTCAAGAGGGAAGCCAGACCAGAGATTCCCGGGCAGAAGAGCACCATCAGTCTTATCGCTGCTATTTAGGCTGCCACAGTGGGTTGCTCGGATCCCAGCACTGGGAATCAATAAGTCGGACGTCGACTCAGAAACGTAATTAGAAAGGCGGTTCATCTACAATGAAGGGAAAAAAAACAGCCTAAGAAGGCCGAGTATACTCAAAATCAGAACCCATCAGCAATGGAACAAGCCCTGATGGAAAAGGACTCATCAGCAACCGAACAAGCCCTGATGGAAAAGAACTCATCAGCAACCGAACAAGCCCTGATGGAAAAGGACTCATCAGTAACGGAACAAGCCCTGATGGAAAAGGACTGTGTTCCATTATCTGAAGTAGGCTTTAAAAGGTGGATGATAAGAAACTTCTGGGAGTTAAAGGAACTTGTTCTAACCCAATGTAAAGAAACTAAGAACTTGGAAAAAAGGTTAGATGAAATGTTGAAAAGAATAGACAATATAGAGAGGAATACAAATGAACTTATGGAGTTGAAAAATACAATACGAGAACTTAGTGAAATATGTACAAGCTTAAACAGCCGAATGGATCAAGCAGAAGAAAGGGTATCAGAGGTCGAAGACCAACTTAATGAAACAAAACGACAAGACAAGAACAGAGAAAAAAGGATAAAAAGGAATGAGCAAAGTCTCCAAGCAATATGGGACTATGTGAAAAGACCTAATATACGCTTGATTGGTGTACCTGAATGTGACGCAGAGAATGAATTCAAGCTGGAAAATACTCTCCAGGACATTATCCAGGAAAATTTTCCTAATTTAGCAAAGCAGGACACTATTCAACCCCAGGCAATACAGAGAACACCACAAAGATATTCCTCAAGAAGACCAACCCCAAGGCACATAATCGTTAGATTCACCAAGATCGAAACGAAGGAGAAAATATTAAGGGCAGCCAGAGAGAAAGATCAAGTTACCCATAAAGGTAAGCCTATTAGGCTTACAGCAGATCTCTCAACGGAAACCCTACAAGCTAGAAGAGAGAGGGGGCCAATATTCAATATACTTAATCAACAGAACTTTCAGCCCAGAATTTCATATCCTGCCAATTTAAGCTTTACATTTGAAGGAAAAATAAAATCTTTTAGGAACAAGCAAGTACTCAGAGATTTTATTACCACCAGGCCTGCTTTACAAGAACTTCTAAAAGAAGCATTATACACAGAAAGGAACAACCAGTATGACCCTTTCTAAAAATACACCAAAAAGTAAAGAGCATTAACATAAAGAAGAATTTTTATCAACGAAAGGACAAAATAGCCAGTTAATATCAAATGGCAGCAACCCTAAATTTAAATCGACCAAATCTCCCAATCAAAAGATACAGACAAAATCTAATGGTATATCCAAAGATATACATAGACTCAAAATAAAGGGTTGGAAAAAAAAAACGTACCAACCAAATGGAGAGCAAAAATAAATAAATAAAAAGCAGGAGTTGCAATTTTCACATTTGACAAAATAGATTTCAAAGCTACAAGGATACAAGGGTAAAAGGATTAATGTAATAGTAAGAGATCTTAACACCCAGATACATAAGACCCATAATGAGATTTAGATTCAAGGAGACAGAAAATTGATAACGATATCCGGGACTGGAACTAAGATCCAGAACAAATAAACTCAATAGAGCTCTCCATTTTAAACACACAAAATATACATTATCCACAAAATCTAACGATATATCTAAAGATATACAAAGACTCAAAACAAGGGGATGGAAAAAAACTCACCAACCAATGGAGAGCAAAAATAAATAAATAAAAAGCAGGAGTTGCAATGCTCACACTTAATAAAATAGATTTCAAAGCTACAAGGATGCAAGGGTAAAAGGATTAATGTAACAATAAGAGATCTTAACACCCAGATACATAAGACACATAATGAGATTTAGATTCAACGAGACAACAAATTGATAATGATATCCAGGACTGGAACTCAGAGCCAGAACAAATAAACACAATAGAGGTCTCCATTTTAAACACATAAAATATGCATTAACCACTTTAAACACTCAAAATATTGATCGGCCATTATTGAAACCCATTTTAGGAATGAAGTAATATTCCTTTTTCCTCTTAAAAAAAAAAAAAAAGAATCTAGTTGGAGGCAACTGCTATACGGATGAAAAGTTAGCCTCCATGCAGGATGTCTGATCTGTGGAACCACAAAACATGCATATCGGGGTGCAAAGCAGAGTGAAAGATTAAGAGGACATGCTCGTCCCTGGCTCTAAAAGCTCCCTCACTTCATTGTCGCAGCCCACTTCCACACGGGCTCACCTTCTACCACCAACTGTGCTACTGACTTTCTTCCTGACACTCCCCCACTTCCATGGTTCTCTGCTGTGCCACACACATCTCATTGCCCCTATTTGGCTATTCTCACTCTAACCCTTCTTCAAGGTCCTCTCTTCATGTGGACCTCTGCATCCTCCCAGATGGATGTTTTCTCACTCTCCCCTTTGATATCACCTTCCCCACCACCACTGTAAAATTTAGCTGTGTCCCTTTGAGAACTTTCATCCTGGGCTGCTGGCTCTTTGCCATAAGTCCTCTGAGGTCTGAGGTGCTCTTTGTTATTGTCACAAAGCCTATAAGTTTTAGTACAGTACTGGGCATATGGATGGTACCCAAAAGACGTCGGCTGGACTGGAGAGCAAAGAGGTATCCAGGCACAGCTGAAAATGGGGGCAAATAAAGACGCTCTACACCAGCCAGTCTACCCTGGAGCAGTTAGGAGAGCCACTGGACCCTTGTCTTGCCTCCGGTATAAGCTTTTGAGATTATTTCTAAGCGAAAATGTACACACTGTATTTAGTGTTACTTTACTAAAAGTAAGCTTTTTTTTTTTTTTTTTTGAGACAGAGTCTTGCTCTATTGCCTAGGCTGGAGTGCTGTGGCGTGATCTTGGCTCACTGTAACCTCCACCTCCTGGGTTCAAGCGGCTCTACTGCCTCAGCCTCCCGAGTAGCTGGGACTACAGGTGTGCGCCACCACACCCAACTAATATTTTGTATCTTTAGTAGAGACGAGGTTTCACTGTGTTAGCCAGGATGGTCTCGATCTCCTGATCTTGTGATCCACCCATCTGCGCTTACCAAAGTGCCAGGATTACAGCTGTGAGCCACTGTGCCTGGCCAAAAGTAAGCATTTAAAATAGACTGTTAGAGAATGGATGAGTTCTGGAGGAGGGATGAGCAGGCAATGACTGTGAAAGGGTATGGGGCTTTACTTGGAGCTGATGAAAATGTTATGAAAGTAGATCACAGCGATCACTGCACAACCTTGTGAAAATGCTAAAAACCACTGAACTATACGCTTTCAAATGAGTTTATCTTTTAACTTTAACAATTGATTGCATTCTGTTTAACTGATCCTTCCCTCCATTTAACATAGGTTGTCTTACTTTAAAGTGTTCCATTTCCTGCTAGTCAAGAAAACAAAAATATCTTAAAGGGAAAATAAATTTATCAATGACCAAAAACAGAATTTAAAAGACTGCCTATATTCATTTAATAAAGTTTACAAAAAGCTAAAACATTAAGAACCCTATTTCAATGTTTCTTTTTCTTTCTAATATGCAGAGAGTCTAAAAGAAAAATAGCACAAGACTTGGCCTCCCTTGAACACACGTCATCAGTGGAAAGGAAGATCACATTCTCTCTGGATTTCTGGAAAGTCAGGATTCATTAAAGAAGGCAATACTTGCTTGCCCCTGCCTCCTCCCAGCCCAGCCCTGCAGGTTCATACCTGTCTGGCCAGCAATGACCATGGGCTGCACAGACAGCTGGAAGAGCTTGTCCAGCACCAGGTGCAGGAAGAGCACGAGCGGCTCCAGGCGGGAGGAGTTCAGGCAGATGATGCTGAGCTTCAGCTCGTGCTCCAGTGCCGTCTCACTGATCTTCTGATCAAGCACGCGGATGGGGAAGGTCACCTGGCTCTCCAGGGAGTGGCAGAGGGTGAAGAATTTCTCCAGGTGGTTGTCCTGGGAAGGAAGAAGGCAGGGCTCATGGGGTTTTGTCCCATCAATGTTCACCAGTGGATTCATAAACATAACCAAATAGCTCTTTATGAGTAGCACCTCTTAGCCAGGTTTCAAACCAGAAGTCCTAAGATATGATGTTTTAGACTGAGGTTATGAACTTCTTTGTAGAATGAGGTGCACAAGATTGGACCTTTCAATAATTATTAGCTAAAGAAAAAATAATTTAGGCTCTGACATGTTCTGTAAACAGAGGTCAGCATACCAGGTAAGTATGCAGAACTCAGACAGTGGCAGGCAAAGGAGGGAGAATGGAATTTCTTTTTAAAGGCTGGTAAAGTGGCAGAATTACAGAGGGAAATGAGATAACAGCAGATAAGAGTTTCAAATCAACTATCCCTGCAAAGTTTCTCAAGCAACAGTACAGGTACCAGGTTCTTTCCTTTCTGTGCTCAGTGGTTTTGTAAGGTCTTTCTATTCCAATGACAAATAAAACCTAAACAGATTTGCGTGTCCCCACAAAGAACTACAGGATTGTTTTTTATTTATCTGTAGACAAGGATTTTCATTGAGTTGTTATCGGCCTGTCCTTCAAAGGCTCCTCTGCTGCACCCTTACCTTCATTATTAACCTTGACTTTTCTTACCTGGGTATGCACAGAGGAAACAGCTTGCACTTCTATATTAAATACTCCCTTATGTCCTTCAGCCCACTTAATGGGAGGATTCTGTAAGGGGACTTTCTGTGTTAAAGAAAAACATTAGCAATCTAATTCCCTTTTCTGATTACTAACAAGCAATGCAGAGCAACTTGACTGGGAATGTAAGGGTTACACCAAACTCTTTAGAAAACTAACATAACTGGTCTTTGAGTCAGGAGCCTGGGATTGAAGTTCAATTCTATACCAAACTAGTTATTATTTATTTATTCATTCATTCATTTTGAGACAGGGTCTCACTCTGCCACCTGGCTGAAATACAGAGGTGCAATCACAGCTCACTGCAGCCTCGACCTCCTGCTCAAATGATCCTCCCATCTAAGCCTCTGGAGTAGCGGGTACTACCGGCACACACCACCACACCTGGCTAATTTTTCTGATTTTTTTGTAGAAATGGTGTTTCACCATGTTGCTCAGGCTGGTCTCAAGCTCCTGAGCTCAAGTGATCCACCTGCCTCGGCCTCCCAGAATGTTGGGATTACAGGTGTCACCCTTCTGGGCCTTAGTGTTCTGTTCTCATACTGCAAGGAGGAGTTGAAATGTGTGATCTGTCTCTAAGTTCCAATCCCGCATGCTAATTCTGGATTCTAGGAATTGAAATAAACTAAGATCCCAGCAATTTCCCCATTAATCAGGACTGTAAGGACAAAGTATAGACTAGCTTTAGGAGACATGAAATTTTAATACTTTTGAGTACCCAACATTACTTCTCCTTTTATCGAAATTTTTCCAAGTGTTTCCAACCTGTTTCTAGGCCTGCTTGGCTCCTGCTCTAATCACTCAAAGTGACTGTTTTATACTGTTTACATATCAAATACCTTTGTAGGCCTTAGAGAAAGCTCCTTGCCTTAAATTCCCATTGCAATTGCATTCCTTTAAAGATGCCCTGCAGTGCTGAGTGAGGAGGGCCTGCCTAGGTTTGCCAGTCTTTCATTGTAATGGAAAGTGGGAAACATTTAATGCTGGGAACATTTAAAGCTATCTGAAGCCCACACAAGCTGGGGCCCAAAGTAAGTTCTAGCCCACACTCGAGTTCTCTTTGAAGTATCAGGAACTTTTAAAAGTCAGTTACCAATATTTGAAAGTCTGAAAATTTCCTATAAAAGACTGCTTTCCTAACTTTGAGTACTGGAAGATATCAAAAAATTGGCCTTATATGCTAGCATGGCACCCATCTGCAGAGTGAAGGAACACAGCTGTGACCTTTAGATGGGGCAGAGACAATCTCCAGAATGAACAGATGCCACCAGAATAAGGCATTCATTGACGTTACTCATCTGCATCCTGTGGGCACTTCAGTTGCTATCTGTGATCTAAAATAGCACTGTTCAGTGGAAATATAATGTGAGCTATTTATGTAATTTAAAGTCATCTAGGCCGGGTGCAGTGGCTCCCACCTGTAGTCCCAGCACTTTGGGAGGCCGAGGCGGGTGGATCATGAGGTCAGGAATTCAAGACCAGCCTGGCCAATATGGTGAAACCCTATGTCTACTAAAAATACAAAACTTAAGTGGGCATGGTGGCGTCCACCTGTAGTCCCAGCTGCTTGGAAGGCTGAGGCAGCGGAATCACTTGAACCCGGGAGGTGGGGGTTGAAGTGAGCCGAGATGGCGCCACTGCACTCTAGCCTGGGAAACCGAGACTCTGTCTCAAAAAAAAAAAAAATCATCTAGTAGCCACATTTAAATAGTAAAAAGGGACTAGGCATGGTGGCTTACACCTATAATTCCAGCACTCTGGGGAGTCCAAGGCAGGAGGATCACATCAGACCAGGAGTTTGAGACCAGCATGAGCAGCATAGCAAGACCCTGTCTCTACTGTTAAAAAAAAAAAAAAAAAAAAAAATTAACCAGCCGTGGTGGTGCTCGCCTGTAGTCCCAGCTACTAAGGAGATAAGGAAGCTGAGGTAAGAGGATTGCTTGAGCCTATGAGTTCAAGATTCAGTGAGCTGTGATCATGCCACTATCCTCCAGCCTGAGTGACAGAGTGAGAGCCTATCTCTTAACAAAAAAAAGAACGTGAAAGTATTTTTTTTTTGAAGAGAAGGAAAGAAAAGAAAAAGTGAAGGAGAGAAAGAAAAAGAGGGAGAGAGAATGGAAATGTTGCTCCATTCCAAAAAATGGGTATTAATAATGGCCAATCAATATTTTATGTAAACTTATGAGTAGGTGTGATGTGGTATTAACAAGAATGTATATTTTGTATATTTAAAGTGGAGAGCTCTATATTTATTAAGTTTACTTGTTCCAGATCTGAGTTCAAGTCCTGGATATCCTTATTAACTTTCTGTCTCATTGAGTCTAAGTCTCTATGTATCTGGGTGTTAGGATCGTTAGCTCTTACTGTTGCATTGATCCTTTTACCACTATATCTTTCTTGCTTTAAAATCTATTTTATGAGATGCGAGAATTGCAACTCCTGCTTTTTACTTATTTATTTATTTTTGCTCTCCACTTGGTTGGTAAATCTTTCTCCATCCCTTTGTTTTGAGTCTTTGTGTATCCTTGCATGTGAAATGGGTCTGGATGTAGCACACTACTGGGTTTTGGCTGTATCTTTTGATTGGGGGATTTAGTCGATTTAAATTTAGGATTACTGCCATTTGATGTTAACTGGCTGTTTTATCCATTCTTTGATGTAAATTCTTCCTTATGTTGATGCTCTTTACTTTTTGGTATATTTTTAGAAAGGCTAATACTGGTTGTTTCTATGTGTAATGCTTCTTTCAGAAGCTCTTGTAAAGCAGGCCTGGTGGTAATAAAATCTCTGAGTACTTGCTTGTTCATAAAAGATTTTATTTTTCCTTCAGTTGTGAAGCTTAGTTTGGCTGGATATGAAATTCTGGGCTGAAAGTTCTGTTCTTTAAGGATGTTGAATATTGGCCCCCACTCTCTTCTGGCTTGTAGAGTTTCTGCTGAGAGATCTGCTGTAAGTCTGATAGGCTTCCCTTTGTGGGTAATCTGACCTTTCTCTCTGGCTGCCCTTAGTATTTTCTCCTTTGTTTCAACCCTCGTGAATCTAACAATTATGTGCCTTGGGGTTGCTCTTCTTGAGGAATATCTTTGTGGTGTTCTCTGTATTACCTGGTGTTGAATATTGTCCTGCTTTGCTAGTTTAGGAAAATTTTCCTGGATAATATCCTGAAGAATATTTTCCAGCTTGGATTCATTCTCTCCGTGGCATTCAGGTACACCTATCAAACGTAAATTAGATCTTTTCACATAGTCCCACATTTCTTGGAAACTTTGCTCATTCCTTTTTATCCTTTTTTCTCTAATCTTGTCATTTCGTTTTATTTCATTAAGTTGGTCTTCGACCTCTGATATCCTTTCTTCTGCTTGAACAATTCGAGTGTTTAAACCTGTGCATACTTCTCAGAGTTCCCATATTGTATTCTTCAGTTCCATTAATTCACTTATATTCCTCTCTAAGTTGTCTATTCTCATTAGGATTTTGTCAAACCTTTTTTCAAAGTATTTAGTTTCTTTACATGGGGCTACATCATGTTCTTTTAACTCACAGAAGTTTCTTATTATCCATCTTCTGAAGCCTGATTCTGTTAATGGGATGTGGTCGTTCTCCATCAAGCCTTGTTCCCTTAGTGATGAGGAACTGTGATCCTCTTTAGAAAAAGAGGCATTCTGATTCTGAGTATTCTCAGCCTTTTTACGCTGGTTCCTTCCCATCATTGTAAATTTATCCACCTGTCGTCCTTGTAATTACCAACTTTCAAATTAGGTCTCTGAGTGGACGCCCAAGTTGTCAATTCCCAGGGCCGATATATGAGCAACCCATCGTGCCGGCCAAAACAGGCGTTAAGACTTATGGTGCTTCTCTGCCAGGGAATCTCCAGTCTCGCTTCCTTCTTGAGTCTGTAATAGGCGACTCTGCCTTCCCGGAGCTCCAAACATCGATCAGAAGGGGAACCAGTTCCATTTACACGGCACGAAGAGCTGCCGCGCCAAGGCACTGGCCAAACCACTGCACCGGCCAGAAGAGTCACGCTGGCAACCTGTGGGGCTCCTCCAATGGGAATCTTCTGCTCCGTGAGCAAGAAACATTTGTATGAAAGTGTGGCATCCTCTCGTTCTCCGCGCTTTCACTGGGAGCTGCAATTCCGAGATGTTAGCGATTAGCCATCTTGGATCGTTCCCCTACGTGAAAGTAATTATATTCCATTTAACTAATATAGCCTAAAGATTTTCAATATGTAATCAACGTAAAAAATTATTAATACAACATTTCTCATATTTTCGCTACTAAGCTTTTGAAATCTGGTGCATATTTTACTTATGGCACATCGCAGTTTGAACTAGCCATATTTCAAGTTCTCAATAGCCACATGTAGCTAGTAGCTATCTTATTAGACAGTGAAGGTTTAAAGGACACTAGGAGAGCCTAAGGGTATATCTATAAACACAGCACAGGGCAAGTAAGAAAAGGAACTAACGTTTACTTAGGAATTGAATTTGTTGCTTGGCACGCATTATCTCATTTAATGCTCACAGCAACATTATAGGCAGATATGGGCTCAGTTGAATCTTTGAGACTTAGAGAGGGTAAGCAACTCACCATGTTTACACAGCTAGGGAGTGGCAGAATCTAGATGCAGGTTTGTCTGTCTCCAACACTCAGGTCTTTCCTATAGCTTAAGAAGATAACTGGAAGTTCTAAAAAATTAGTGTGCAACGTGTTGATGAGAAGGTGGTTTTGAGGGCTACTGAAAGGTGTTGATGTTCAAATCATAAAGACCAATCAGGAAATGTCTGTGGACATACTCGAATTTCCCCTAAGACGGCTTTGAGGAGAGAAGTTTTAATCTACCAGGCATGTGCCTGTGGCCTAGGACAAAAGATGCTTCTCTCTCCAGGGAAAAAGAAAAATAAGAGGAAAACAGCCCCAAGTGAGGCAGTGGATGGTGAAAGAACAGAGAAAAAAGTTGACTTTGGATTCAAACTTTAAAAAGCAAGCATTGAAAATATATCATTAGTGGGATAAAAGAAAATTTGATTACTGACTGAATATTTAATGATAGTAAGAAGTTACAGTTAATTTTAAAGTATGACAATGGTATCGTGATAGTTTTACAAAGCCTTTATCTTTAAAGATGCAGACTAAAATGAAATATGATGTCAGAGATTTACTTCAAAATAATACTTATTGATGTAAACCTATGGAAGGAACTGAGAAGTGTGATAGCAGTGTGACAGCTGGTGCAGTCAGGGTGGACAGTCCCCTGGGCTCCTTTTATTTTTTTGTTGAGATGGAGTCTTGCTCTGTTGCCCAGGCTGCAGTGCAGTGGCGTGATCTCAGCTCACTGCAAGCTCCACTTCCCAGATTAAAGCAATTCTGCCTCAGCCTCCTGAGTAGCTAGGACCACAGGAACCTGCCACCATGCCCAGCTAAATCTTTTTGTATTTTAGCAGAGATGCAGTTTCACCATGTTGGCCAGGCTGTTCTTGAACTCCTGACCTAAAGTGATCATCCCACCTCGGCCTCCCAAAGTGCTGGGATTGCAGGCACCCAGCACCACGCCTGGCTAATGTTTGTATTTTTAGTAGAGATAGGGTTTCACCACATTGACCCCGCTGGTCTTGAAATCTTAACCTCAGGTGATCCGCCCAGGGCTTCCTTTAAATGCGTGCACTGCAGCTGAGTGGATGGGAGAGAGGAAGTGCCAGAAACAGGAAGTGGGAAAGACTACTGGCATTGGGATTGTTAGGGGAATAAATACCTTGGTATCCACCAGAGGGTTGTGACAACACACCCAACAAAGAAACAGCTGGAATCTGGCCTGGGAACCTTTTCTAAGGATTCTTGATAGGAGCAATTGTCTATATAACAATTGGCCTCAGTTTGCCTCCTCTTCTATAATACATTATTCTGGGAATCCCTCTGTGATAGATAATGCAAGGTAATGCTGCCTTGGGTGTAGGTTGCATCTACTAAACCTTCTGATTTGGTGGCATTTAAAAGAATGAGGTTTCATAGTCAATTATTCCTCCCATCCTATCAGAACAATGTGCTCTCTGAAAACACGGTGTGCTCCAGAGAACACGATGAGCACGTTTGGTCACATGGGAATGAGAAGTGATTCTGGGAAGGTGGTCCAAGACCACGGCTGGACAAGAAACAGCTGAGAGCCAGCTTGCCAATTACCTCAGCAGAACGCATGTAGTTGGGTGGCAATTTTTCCAAGGCAACTGGGAGACAGTACGATCCAGTTTGAAGACGTTCATTTAAAAGAATTGGCAGCCACTGAAACAGATGATGTAAATAATAAAGTGGTATTAATTACAGCATATAATTCTGGCAATTTATCTAGCTCACAACAATCAAATGCAACTAAACAATGATTAGATACTGACCAGGCAGTAATTTTGGCAGGAATTTCTGTCCAATTCTTTGCATTAAATCCCCGAGAGCTCCTGAGATGGTAGTATTGATGATTTACTGCTTTCAGAGCCAAAGCAGTAGCATTTTTCTCTATAGCCAACATTCGTGCGTCTGAACATCAATGTTGATTTTACATTTAATATTTTTTAAGGAAATAATTGTTTCTTCTTGGAGGACAGAGCCAGTTCTATATGTAAAGCATGGATATTACATATGGAAATAGTGAACACTGCAATGCTTTTTAAAAAACAAATGAATATTCCTTCAACAACTATCACCCACTAGCTTTCCATTTCTGAAATCTGACATTCGCTGAGGCAAATCACTTCTGCCTCTTGCTATAATTTGGCTTAGCATGTTTTGCTACTTCTGACAGGAAAAAATCAAGTGAATAGAATTTGGTTGTTTATCTTTACAGGGACCTCAGATATACCAAAAACTGCAGTGAATCAGCAGGCTGGAAACAACTCACCGAATATCCCAGGAGAGTTTCCACGGAGCCTCCTTGCTTCTGCTGACAGCTGATATGGTAGAAGGTGAACAGGAGGTAGTGATTTACTGTGAGCTGAGCAGGGAGCTTAATTTTCACTTCTTCATAAAAGTCAGGAGACCTGTTTCAAAAGCACATTATAAACAAATAACTTTTAGCAAGAATGAAGACTTCTCCGATTATAAGACGCCACAGCCCCTTTGCTCCTTAGAACTTGCCTGGGTCTTTGCTTCTCATTTTACATTACTCTGATCTGAAGCTGGAAGTCCCGGAGACCAAGCTTATGTTATTAGATACACTTCCCATACACAAAACTGTTCATGAACTAAAGGCTTTGTCAGGAAAACAAAAAACAGAAACCACCTCCCCCCACACAATGGAAAACCCCAAAAACTTAATTTGAAGAAAGGATGAGGTTTGGAATCCTGCTGTGACCTCCTTTTTCCATCTCTGCCCAAGGAAGAGAGCCTCGCACCTGGCTGCACTCACCAAAGAGTAGAAGCAAATGAATGATGCAGGAAGGAAAAGGAACCCGATTTTACTGAATTGTGAAGCCCTAGATGCTTCATGAATTACAAAGGTTTCATGTACATGACCTCACTTAATCCTCATCCCCAGCCCAGAATGTGCTTAAATGGAGGATTTAAATAAATATGCCCAGGTGATGAGGCCAGGACCAAATCCAGTTCTGTCTGACATTGTGCAGCTGTCCCTCCTTCTCTGTGAAACATGAATAGCAGCATAGGCATTATCCTGTGACTCCATTTACCGGTGGGACAATGAGTGTTCCACTTCTCCTTTGGTCAGCCTAGGCAGGCAGTGGGCCAGGTGTCAAGTGGAGCGGACAGGGACACAAGGCAAGGGGAGCTGGATTGTACTTCTGGCCTCCTTCAGTGTCTCAAAGCAAGTTACAAAATGTGTTTTCTTAATTAACGTAATAAAACCTCTTTGCATCACACTAGAATAGAAGCCTCCAGAAAAGTCAAAAGTATACTGGATTCTTGAAGACATGTTCTTCTTTCAGTCTTGGTTAATGGCAAACTTATATACATCTTCAACACAGAGTCATGGAAGTGGTATGGATTTCCTTGACCCCTGAGTTCCTGAATTATAAAAATAGTTGGGAGGAATCACCCAGGGGACGTGGAAAAACCAGGAGATGATAAAACTGTCTTGGTGTATATTTAGAATGCTGAAATAGACTTACTTATTATGGTATGTAATGGCTGCGTATACTTCCTGCAGAAATTCAGGCCCACTGGACTTTCCAAAGATGACCTGTTTACCAGTATGGAAAGGATCAAATTATCAGTAACATTTGGGTATATCAAATTAACGATTATCAGGCCAACAGGATGTTCTGGTCTCAGAGAGCTGCATTTTGTATAATTAAGACTGCTGGGTTGGCCGGGAGTGGTGGCTCATGCCTGCAATCTCAGAACTCTGAGATGACGAGGTGGGCAAATGGCTCGAGCCCAGGAGTTGGAGACCAGTCTGGGCAACATGGTGAGACCTCCTCTCTACAAAAAATACAAAAATTAGCAAGGCATGGTGGCTCATGTGTATAGTCCCTGCTAACTGGGGGGCTGAGGCAGAATTGTTTAAGCCTAGGAGGCACAGGTTGCAGTGAGCCGAGATAGCACCATTGTACTCCAGCCTGGGCAACAGACCCTGTCTCAAAAAGAAAACAAGGCCAGGTGCAGTGGCTCACGCCTATAATCCCAGCATTTTGGAAAACCAAGGCCGGTGGATCATGAGATCAGGAGTTTAAGTCAAGCCTGGCCAAGATGGTAAAACCTTGCCTCTACTAAAACTACAAAAATTAGCCAGGTGCAATGGCAGGTGCCTGTAATCCCAGCTACTTGGGAAGCTGAGGCAGAGAACTGCTTGAACCTGGGAGGTGGTGGTTGCAGTGAGCTGAGATCACACTCCTGCACTCCAGCCTGGCGACAGAGTGAGAATCTGTCTCATAAAAAAAAAGAAAAGAAAACCAGTACTCTCTCTACTCTGCCTCACTGCCTAGAGGTCTATCCAACAGGGCAAAGTTACATACCTTTGCCTTGAGTGAGAAATCCCCAGTCCAGGTTCTTCTTTCTCTAAACATATAGACCTAGCCACTTAGGTGATTTGACTCTCCACTGCCTTATCCATATCTGTGCTATTTAGAAGAAGATAACTCCTTCGGCCTGAAGCAGCGTTTAAGATGCATTATGAACAAGCGTGCTCACCTTTGTGCCGAGAAAAAAGCTCTTTCCTCTAAATACAGTAATCCCAACACCAGAACCCCGGGCTAAGAGAATAAAGAACTTACTGGACATTACTCCACAGTCACCCTTGGCTGGGCATCTTGGCTGCTACAGGATCTGCACAAGCATAACTGGCAGTTCGGCAGTAACATGCCAGGGGCATGAGCAGAGAGAACTAAGAGGAGCCCACCACTGCCTCAAGACACACTTCCCTTTATTGGGAAGACAGGTGGGACACTTCTCTTTATTGGGAAAACAGGTGGGACATTAGGAGAAAGGTTTTTTCCTTTCTTTTTCTGTTTTAGAAAAGTATATTAAATGAGTGTGGTGGCTCATTACTGTAATCCCAGCACTTTGGGAGGCTGAGGCAGGTGAATCACCTGAGGTCAGGAGTTCAAGATCAGCCTGGCCAAAATGGTGAAACCCTATCTCTACTAAAAATACAAAATTAGCTGGGCATGGTGGCACATGCCTGTAATCCCAGCTACTTGGAAGGCTGAGGCAGGACAATCACTTGAATTTGGCCGGCAGAGGTTGCAGCAAGCTGAGATCACACCATTGCACTCTAACCTGGGCAAATAGAATAAAACTCCGTCTCAAAAAAAAAAAAAAAAAGAAAAAAGAAAGGTATATTAACTAACGCCTATGACTTATGGGAAATAGGAATAGCTAACCACCATCTCATTTGGCAGCAGATAGTTTAAAAAGCATAAATTCTGGCATTTTGGGTTCCTTGGCACACAATGCATTACACATATATATATAAAATTTGATTTCTACTTTGCCTCAGGATGAAGATCCACTCCTAGAAGGTCTGTGTTTACAATTACTAGGCAGTACTTGGTATTTATTAGCAATGTGGACCGAGGCTTGGGTAAGTGTATAACGCAGTGTGTGCAAACACAGTGTGTATAGTGTGTGTATGGAAGACACTCAGCAAGCATGGTACACATGCGGAGCCATCCCTTTACCTTGAGTGGGGTGGTCCTAAGGGCAGTGTGAAAAGATTTTATGATTTTTTTAATCATCTAAAACAACCTGTATGTTCCAAGCTCACTACAGAATAAATGAAGAGATTTTCAAGTAAGACTGACCCTGTTTCCCCATTATTATCCTGGGAACAGAAGCCCTCGCACATGCTGAGCAGTGCTGGCCAGGAATAGACAGACTCTGTACCCTGATGAGTCCTGGATGTGATCCATGTGAATTGACAGAATGTGCAGCCCACCCTGATTTGAGGCAAGTGTTCATTTCCCTCCTTACCGGCATCGCGTTGACAGCATCTTCTCCACACATAAACTGGATCTTTATTGTAATGTTCTGGGCTGATGCTAGTTTGTCAGCAAAGTTCAGCCTCTGTGGGTAGACATAGAGAAGATTTCTGAAAAAGAAGGGATAAAGAATGAAAAAGGTCTAGAGTTTATTTTAACTAAGTTCGCCGCAAATGCTGAGACTTCCATTCATGGGGTGCTTTTTCCAAAGTTCTTCCTCTTGAAGTGAATTATTACTGGAGGAGTGAATTACTTGATTCTTCCTCTTAAGTCACAGTCATCTGAAAATAACCCCTATTGCTCTCTCTTTTGCTACAAGAAAAGAGTGCTGCAGCTCACAAAGTCTTAATGTCTTGGAATGTGGAACTCAGCCTAGAGGTAACTGTATCTCTGACAGACAGATAAAGAAAGCAAAACAGGTCCAGCTCATTTCAAATAAAACTCATGGCCATAGGTGATGGCCTAATGCCATTCTTTTCTTTTTCCCTTCCTAATCTTTATGGAGTAGTCCCCTTTTCTTACTGGCACAGCACTCGTATTGGCTTAGCTTTCTGTTCTCATATAAGATGACAGCTCAAACCCCCAAGCTCAATTACCGTACAACAACAACAATACGAATAATATATCCATTCATTTGACAACTATAGGACAGGTACTATGCTACGCAGTGCCTGGGTAACTTGCATATGTTTTTCTTTCTATTTGCATTATTTGTAGTAGATTCCACTCAAATGTAAGTTCCACAAGGATAGGGATTTTTCACTGATGTTTCTGATCCACGGATGTATCTCCAGCAGCTAGAAAAAAAAATTCTCATATTCCATCCCATATCTACTAAATCAGAATCTGAATTCAAATGTGAGTAAAGTGTCAGAAGCACTTTAAGACAACAACACAAAAACTGTGCCCTCTCCCTCCCTCCATCTCTCTATTTTTATTTTTCTTTAGACAGAGTTTTGCTCTTTTCGCCCAGGCTGGAGTGCAATGGCACGATCTTGGCTCACTGCAACCTCCAACTTCCAGGTTCAAGCAATTATCCCGCCTCAGCCTTCTGAGTAGCTGGGATTACAGGTACCCGCCACCACGCCTAACTAAATTTGGTATTTGTAGTGGAGACGGGTTTCACCATGTTGGCCAGGTTGGTCTCAAACTCCTGACCTCAGGCGATCCACCCACCTTGGCCTCCCAAAGTGCTGGAATTACAGGTGTGAGCCACCGTGTCTGGCCTGTTGGTGCACTTTCAACAGGGTTACTGTTGAAGACTGTTCTGTCATTATCCATCTGAAGATCTCTCAAAAAATTTCTCAAACAACAAGAACCATGATAAATCACTTATTAATAATATAAACCATGTATCCAATTTCCATTATTGCTATGTCTTTCAGGAAGATCAGAGACAATTTAACATTTCAAAGTTCATAACGGTGTCAGACCATATATTCTAAACTTGACCTGGGGTTGACAGTCTCTTCTTCATTTTCTCTGATCTTAGTTTTTATTTATCTAGTCTTGTCATCTTACTATAGAGATTGTTAGATGTCTCCTAAATCCACTAAAAGTAAAAGAAAGAAACAAATAAATAGATGAACAAATAAGAACTTACCAAGGTCTTGGTCATTTTTGGCTCTTCGGACAAAGGGGCAGAGATCTGAGTAAACAGATGGGAGAAGGAAGTGTGCCAGTGTCACCCATGGACACAAATATACGTTAGTGCCCATGTACCTTACTCAAAAATTTATTTCTAGAGCTACAACATTAAAATATCATCCCATCATCGCATATTGTACAAAGATTTAAGTGCAAAAGTTTTACCATAACATGGTTAATAAAAAAGAAAGATTAGATTATCCAACATAGTGGTTGTAGAAAAAAAAAAAATAGAAACATTTAAATATCCAATAATTGTGGATTGCTTAAATATTTTATAAAACATCCAAAGGACATGCTGTTCTACTATTACATTATCATACTATCTGATTTCACAGACCCTTTAAGTTATCACCAACCCTGGTAACTAACCCCTCATTCTCACTCTTTAATCTGCTCTAAGTGTCAGTTGCTACCCAGTGCCTCTACTCTCAAAGCCATTATTGAAATCTCAAATTCACTGATTCCCATGAGCCCTGAATCATTCATCCTATAATTCCTGATCTGAGAGCCTTCAATTCCTCTACTCTAATGGTCCTGGCACCCTACCAATCAATCCCATGTCCCCATGACTAGCCTCCATGCCTGTATCTCCATCAGACATCCTAAGAGTCCCAATCCTAGGCACACCTGTACCTGCACTGGGGGCCTTAGCACACAAACACATCTCCCACCGCTGACAGAACTAGGCCATAAACTCCTCCACACACGAAAACAGGAACTAAATCAATGAACAAATCTGGGAAAATTACTGAATGTATAGCATAAATTTATAAATACAAAACACTTCTAAGTGTGAAAAACCAGACTATTGAGAGAAAGAATGAAGGAAATAAGAAAACTCTTCATTTGCAGTACTGAAAGCGAAATGATGTCAGAAATAGCAACTAAAAGACCACTCTTCTGTCAGGACAAGAGAGACATTTTCAGAAATAAAACCACTTGCAGAGAGTATCTCAATCTTTGAGACAAATACCGAAAAAAGTTGTCCAAATAAATGTAAAATGAATCGCACGAGAAATCTTCAATAGGAAAATACTGTTCAGTAATAATTCTTGTAAAATATATATAATTACAAAAAAGGACAATGTGACAATATGATCAAGAGGACACTAAAGAGAAAATTAATAATGTCCTATGATAAAACATTCCTAATCATCTCAGGAAAAAACAGAAAAAATGGGGTACAGAATGGAAACAATGAGGAGAAATTTCATCCATCCAATCAAAATATATAAAGAAAAGGCAGAAAATAAAAAGAGCTAAATCGTCAACATCAAATGGAAGGCATACAATCAGATAAATGATTATTACAATAAATAGAGGTAAAATTCTATCAACAGAGACTATAAGTTGGATTCGAAAAAAACAAAGGTATCTTGTAAACAAATAGGTAACGTAACATTAGAAACAGATATGGATACAAAATAAATCTCTGGCCAAAGACACATCACCCAAATGCAATAAAAGTAAAAACAAGTGGTCGGGTAATTATCAACGTGGCATTTTTAAAATATAGTCTCGATATTAATCTTATATATGTATGTATGATCTGCAAATATTTTCTTGCAATCCATGAGTTGCCTTTTCACTCTACTGATAGTGTCCTTTGATGCACAAAACACTTTTATTTTGATTAAATCTATTCTCTTATTGGCCATGCTTTTGGTGTCTTTGATCCAAGAAATCATTGCAAAACCCAAATCACGAAACTTTTCCTTTATGCTTTCTTCTAAGACCTTTATAGTTTTAAGTCTTATGTTTAGACCTTTGATCCAGTTTGAGTTCGTTTATGTATATATACTATGTATATATCCACATGCAAAGAGTGAGGTTCGGCTCTTATTTATACTATATACATATATACCATATGTATATATATATAGTATAGTATGTATCATACATAGTATATATGTATAAAGTATATGTATATACATAGTGTGTATATATGCATATAGGAACAGTATATAATATATATACAAATATACTATATATATACACATACATTATATGTTATGTTTTAGATATATATACAGATATATTTTAAAAAGCTCAACATCACTGTTTATTAGAGAAATGCAAATCCAAACCAAATATATTGTTATATATTACATATGCATTACCTAGAATATATTAATCAGATATATATTATATATTACATTATGTATATTATATATTATTATATATAATGGTGTTTATATCATTATTACATATCCAAATGAATATAAATCATTCTATTACAAAAATACATGCACGTGTATGTTCATTGCAACACTGTTCACAACAGCAAAGACAAAGACATGGAATCAACCCAAATGCTCATCAATGGTATACTGGATAAAGAAAATGTGGGGTATATATACACCATGAAGCACCATGCAGCCATGAAAATGAATCAGATCATGTCTTTTTCAGACACGTAGATGAAGTTGGAAGCCACTATTCTCAGCAAACTAACACAGGGACACAAAAGCAAATATTACATGTTCTCACTTATAAGTGGGAGCCGAACAACGAGACCATGTGGACACAGGGTGGAGAACAACACAGACTGGTACTTGTTGGGGGAGGGCAGTGGTAGGGAGAGCATCAGGAAAAATGGCTAATGCATGCTGAGTTTAATACCTAGATGATGGGATGACAGATGCAGCAAACTACCAAGGTACACACTGACCTGTGTAAGAAAACTGCCTGTCCTGCACATGTACCCCAGAACTATAAAGAAAATAAACACACAAATAAAATTTTTAAAAATTATCTTAATTGTATGTGGGTAGGTCCCTTTGATTGAAAGTGAAATGGAAACAATTAAAAAAAAAAAACCTTACTATTCAAAATTTACAAAACTAAATAAGAGTAAAACAAATTTACATTTTGTCCCTGGATTGATATAAGACAAAAACATTGTGTGGGAAAGCTGGAGTTGAGGACGAATGAGATTCTGAGAATAAAAATCCCTGGTACATAGTCAAAGTTTCAGAGTCAACTTCAGATTTTCAAGGATTATAAAATAGATAACCTCATACCACCGTCTCCAACAGATAAAGAAACCAAATAATATCTGCGTTCCCGGGAGAAAGAATAGAAAATTAGCTGAGTTCTGTGACTGCCAAAACTTAGTGGGAAGGAGGAATCTGGAAGGTGGGAGGGTAGAGGGTGCTTCAGCCTCCCCAGCTCACTACCCCTCCCCCATCAGGGGCCCTTTGTGATGTGAAGGCCCCAGCTCTGTGACACAGGCCTGGGCCCCAGTCCCTAGTCTGCAAGGGAATGCCCAGAGCTCAGTTGCTTGAAGGCAGCATACCTATTCAGATGGCGAATATTCCGATTCCTCTAAAATTTCTTAGTGATTTGTGGGTAAACACCCCCAGCTTTACACCATGGGTATTGGATATCTTCCTAACCCTGGTATTTGTCGTGGAGTTATATTTCCTATTAGCCCCCTGCCTCTCTTACTTCCATCATGATCCACCCTCACCATCGCCGGGGGAGGAGAGAATGGTAAGGAGCCCTCAGGCCAGACCCACACAGCACAATTCTCTCCTTTCTTTCTATTATTAGTTCTACTTTTCCAAATCCAGTGGAGAGACTTCCGCAATGGGAAGTGTCAGGAGAGACCAGAACATGGTCCTTCCAGGGAGAGGCAGAGCAGCCACGGGTTGGTCGGGACTGGGATTTCCATCCCAAGCTCTAAGTGCATCTGTGGGGGAGGAGCACAGGAGGCGTCAGGGCAAAACCAAACCCCTGGGCTCAGTGGTGAGGACCAGTCAGGACATGGGGGAGGTCTCTGTGGAGGGTGCTCATAAGCCTCTTCCTGGGGCAGGTGGCTAGGGACCCAGCCTCGTCTGTCGGGTGATCTGGGGGCTGTGCTGAGCCTCTGAGGGCCTCCCACCTGGGCCTGGAGTCTCCTCTGATCTGAAAAGCAGAATCCTGACAGCTCGGGTGTGCCCGCGGGCCTGAGCCTGGGTGTTCGTCGAGTAGAGAAGCACCTCTACCGTTACTTACATTATATTATATATTATACATTATGTATATTATAGTTTATATATATAATATATATATTTCCTCATATAGTAAATCCCTCTTTGTGGTGGGTTTTACTGTTTGTTTTTTGAGACGTAGTCTCACTCCTGTTGACCTGGCTGGAGTGCAATGGCAATCTCGGCTCCCTGAAGCCTCTGCTTCCCAGGTTCAAGCAGTTCTCCTGCCTCAGCCTCCGGAGTAGCTGGGATTACAGGCACACGCCACACCGCCCGGCTAATTTTTGTTATTTTTAGTAGAGACAGGGTTTCGCTATGCTGGTGAGGCTGGTCTCAAACTTCTGATCTCAGGTGATCCACCCTTCTTGGCTTCCCCAAATGCTTGGATTATAGGCGTCAGCCACCGCGTCTGGCCCCCTCTTCGTGTTTTTCTAAGAAAAGGAGTTTGTCATCCACTTAAACATGAGTGGGAAGAAGCACACTGCTCTCTGAGCAAGACCAGAGAGCTGTGCAATTCGTGAGTGCCGCGGCTGGACTGGGGCGGAGAGCGAGAGCTGGTCTCAGCCCCTCGCCCTTTCTTGTCTCCCAGGGTCACCTTCTCTCCCAGGGTCAGCGGAGGGGGAGGCCCAAAGGCAGGAAGAAAAACTGCAGTCTGAAAGGTAAGGCTCTGCCGGGGCACACTAGAGTTCATTTGATCTCATCTGTCCCTGGAAAGTAGCGACTCTGTCTGAGGAAGTCAATTGAAGAAGCCTGAGGTGGGGGCTCCTAGGAAGGAAATCAGAACCCCGGGTCCCTCTGAGATTCCATGCTGCCATGAAACCATGGTGGGCCAAGGACTGGGTGTTCCCCAGCTGGGCACAGTGTAGGGGGAGGAGACCAATGCCTGTCTGAATCAGGAGAGGGTGAGGGGGCTATGGACAGCTGTTCAACTCTGTTAAGGCTGATTCCTCTTTGAGACCACCCCAGTCCTTTCTCCCCACAAGGCATCTGTGAGAACTATGGGGATGGGGGGTCTGTGTGTGGAAGCCCTTCGTGGACAACAAAGCCTTGCCCTCCGTGCCTCGCTATCACCGTCTAGGCCATGTGGCCTTGGACACAGACATGTGGTTTCCAGGGTCTGACTCCCCATGGTTTTCCCTCAAGAAACAGCCACTCAGCCTCCTGTGAGATCCCAGGCCCCTCTCTCACTGCCCTAACCCGGTCTCCTGATTTCCAGCTTATAGAGACCTCCTGACAGGCCTGGAGCGGCTTCTGGACGTGCTTTCACAACTGGAGCGGTGAGGCACTTCCCCTTCCCTGCATCTTTCTTGCCCAGCTGGGATTCGACCCCAGGGCCTTATGGCAGCCTGGAGCTGACCTGGGATGGGGAGACCAGGGGGACAGAGAATGGGAATAAAACCCTGGAGAAAGGGGTAGGAGAAGAATTGGGGAGTCTGGGTGCAGCGCGGTAGAGGGGCATAGGAGGAAAACTGGAAAGTCTGGGTGTGGGGCGTTGGAGGCGCATAGGAGGAGAATTGGGCAGTCAGTATGTGGGATGGTGGAGGGGCATAGGTCCCGGTGTGTGGGGTGGTGGATGGGCATAGGAGAATTGGGGGGTCTGGGTGTGGGGCAGTGAAGGGGCATAGAATTGGGGGGTCTGGGTGTGGGGCGGTGAAGGGGCATAGGAGGATGGGGGGTCTGGGTGTGGGGCAGTGGAGGGGCATAGAAAGAGAATTGAGGAATCAGGGTGTAGGGCAGTGGAGGGGCATAGGAGAATTGGGGGGTCTGGGTATGGGGCGGTGGAAGGGTCGGGGCCCACATACCCACTCTGCCCTAAGGCCCTACCTGCTCCTGGCTGCAGCTTGTGCCTCCTGTCTCCTGCAGCATCCCGGGGCCGCATCCTGAGAAAAGCAACTTTGGTCAGCTCTCTGGTCCAGATCCCCCAGGTCAGCAGTGCAAAAGGGCGCCTTATGGAGCCTCCCAGTCCCCTAAGGAGCTGATTGAAGATGCCGCTCCCGTGCTTTCCCCATTAGCTTCCCCGGATCCTCAAACCCAGCATCCTTTGCCTCTGGTCTCCACCCCATCACCAGGCCCAATGGCTACCTCAGTCTCCCCTCTGAGTGCCTCCCAACCACCAGAGCCTTCCCTTCCCCTGGAACACCCCTCACCCGAGCCACTTGCGCTTTTCCCTAACCGACCACACACCCCTGATCCTCTGGCCTGCTCTCTGCCTCCTCTAAAAGGCTTCATTGCTCCTCCCCTGCGGGAATCCACTCTGACAATTCCATCTCACTGTGAATCAGTGGCGCTTCCACTGGGAACCATCCATCAAAGCTCATCTCCGTGTGAGAATTTGGTGACTTCTGGCCCAGCCATCTCAGGCCTTGGCGGCTCAAGCAGTCATGTCTCTGTGCCTGCATTCTGGTGTCAGGAAACTACCAGAACCCGGTGCGTCTCCAACCCATCAGTCCAGCAAGATCAGCTTTCCGGCCACCCACCAGAAACCTCGTCCTCGGGAGACCCCACAAACAGTCAGATGGAAGCTGAAAGCCCCTTTTTGCTCAGCTCTGATGGCCAGAATGTCATGGGAATGCAAGTCACAGAAAGAGCCAGGATCAACGTTGGGGAGGAAAGAGAAAAAGATGGATCATTTCCAAAACAAACGAACACGGAAAAGCACTTGAATTCTTTGGAAAATTTGGTGAAATCATTGAATGCTGAGCAGGACACCACAACCCTAAAACCTGTCTGGGACATGGAATACTTGAAACAATCGTCCAGTCCTCAGAAGCTCTCGGATCCTGGAATCCTGAAGGAACATTTTCAGAAGAATTATAGGCAGTTTTTCTGGGGCATCCCCTCTCGGCACAGCGAATCCTTGGAGGCTAATGCCTGGGTGTCTGAGAGATCTTATATTTTACAGTCTCCTCCTTTCTTGTTCAATGGCATTCCCAATGTCCGCCTGGTTCAAACAGAGACTACAATGTCTCCACTGCTTTACCAGGCCCAGCACCTGTCCCATCTGAGGCCTGAGTCCCAACCCTTTATTTCACCCACACCCCAATTCCAGCTCTCACACATGGCTCAGGCAGAGGTTGAGGACCATCTTCAATCCTCTTTCCCAGTCCAGTCTCCTGCTTTTGCATCCCCGATTAATAATTCTAGAGTAGCTTGCCCTGCGTCGCAGAATAAGAGGCAAGCTCTCACCCTACCTGAAATGCAGCGCCCTGAATGGTCTTCTAAACAACTAGAACGTGGGTTGGCTTTACCCTCTGGGGCCCAAAAACCTCAGGATGTCTTTAGCGCCTCCACTCCTAACCTTCCCCAGGGCAGCTTGACAGCAATCATTCCTGAGATCTTCCCAGTCAGTCCTGAACTCCGGAGCAACCTGGGAACGACCCAAGAGTCTCCGGATCTGATGCAGCCTCAGGAGAACTTGCCGGGGACAAATCAGGCCAAGGGCAAACTCAGACCCTTGCAGTTCTCCGAGTCCACGGGCGAAAGCAGCAAGGGCATACAGAAGGTGACGTTCCCGCTAGAGAGTAATCCGTGCACACCTCTGGGACAAATTCGGGGGCAGACCCCGCAAAATCTAGCCAGGTGCATGGAAAGCTTCCCAGGGAAGGTTCTGGGGGCAGAACCTCAAGTCTCTGAGGAATCAGAAAGAGACTTGAAGATGCCCTTGAGGAGAGACTCGCAAAGTGATTTATTAAGACGCACAGAGACAAATCGTATAGAAAACATCCTGAAAGCCCACGTGGACATGAAGTTCGGCCAGATCAATGAGGGCTTTATCCCCATTCGTGTGCGTCAATCCTGGCTTGCTGTCAACCAGGCTTTTTCCGTGTCCAGCACCCACATGAAGACCAGCAATCTAACACCCCCGAAAAGTGAAAGAGCCAGTGTGAACACATCCCAGGAGCTTTCCTTCCTCGATCCGTGCACTCAACAGGTGCTGGGACACCATATTGTGAGGTTGTGGGCCCAACACAACTGGAGCCTACCCCTCAGGGTCCTCAAGCCCATTAAGCTCTTTAAACTCAAGAAAGTTTCGTCCTTATCCCTAACACAGCTTGCCGGTCCCTCCTCAGCCACCTATGAATCTAAGCCTAGCTCAAAAGTTGAGAAAGCCACATTCCTAAGAGAGTCACCACCGGCAGGTCTGAGAAAGCAGGTGCTGACCAAAGCATCTGTTCAGATGCCAGACAGTCTTCTGGTGTCTTCACCCACATTTACGAAGTTCCAGACGGCCCGACAAGGGATCCCGTCTTGGAATGCCCATGGGCCCTTGAAGCCTCCTCCAGCTGGACAGGAGGGCAGGTGGCCTTCTAAGTCCCTCACATGCAGCCTCACAGGCAGCGCCCAGCAGAGTGGGAGCTTAGGAGCCCAGTCTTCAAGGGCTGGAAAGAGCATGGAGGCAGCGCCACAACCCAGAGTCCCCTTGGGAACCTTGGCAAACCTCCAAGCCACACGTAAGGATGTGAGTGGTTCAGAGGCTCCACGGACCAGTAAAGGCTCTCAACTCCCTAACTCAGAGACCCAGCCTCAAGTCTGTGGCGCTGTTGTGCTCCCTCCAGATGGTTTTACTGACATTCCCCTTGCTACAGAGAGTTTGGCTTCTCAAGTGCCCCACGGCCGTCTCCAGAGCATGGCTACAGGGAACATGCAGGCTTCCCGGGAGCTAAGTGACCTTATGGCAGCCAGAAGGAGAAACCTGGGGTACAAGGAGCCCAAGGACCCGAAATGTCAAGGCTCATGCAAGAGCCAGAGCCGGATGTTTACCCCTACTCACAATAGTGAGAACCCAGCGAAGCCCAACTTAGAAAAACGTGAAGTAAGGTTTAAAGAACTGAGGACTCCCCAGCTCACCCCAGTCAGGAAAACAGAAAAAACTCATCAGGATGAAGGCCTCCGGCTGCTGCCATCAAAGAAACAGCCTCCTTCAATATGCAACTTCGGAGAAAACATCAAACAATTGTTTCAGCAGGTCTTTTCAGTGAGAAAAAGCAAGCCAGTACCAGTCACTGCCAAGAGCCAGAAAATAGTGAAGAACAGATCACATGTGTACAGCAGCTGTGCTGAAGCTAAGGGGCTCACGGCAGCAGCTGGACACATGCTGGAGAAAAAAACGACACTTTGCCGTGAGCATCGTGCCTCTGACATAAATCAGCACAAACAGGAGTTCCAAGCCCCAGTCTGTGGGTTTCCCTGCAACTGCAGGCACCTCTTCCACCCGGAACACAGCAGAATGCTGGGCTATGCAGCCAGCAGTCAACAAGCCACTCTCAAGAGCCAGAGTTACCCCAACACAGAGAAGCATATCAGACATCAACAGTCCTTGAAAAGTGTCCGGCGCAACAACGAGCAACGGGGCCAGGACAGCCCCAACTCTTGCTCCCCAAGAAGGCTGTCTCCCAGAAGGTCAAGTAGTCTTCTGTGAAGACACAGAACTTTTAATATTCCAAAATAAATAAATATCTCCCTTTTTTCCCCCATAAAAGGATAATGGCTTTTATTTGTGTCGTGCTTGGTGTGGGCTTGTTTTCTAGAAGTGACAGGACATGGAGGGATTCTGAGAGTGGTGTTGTAAGCCCACCTTCATCCTGAGTTCCTTCACTGAAGCTTAGGTTTCCATAATACTGTCTTTACACAAACAACAAAAAATTCTAAAAACAAGATGAGAACACCTACAAAGATCCCACTCAGAGATGTGGTTCAAACCCATCTTTCTACTACTTACTCTACCTCAAACTTTATGCAGCTGTAGGAAGAAGGTTTGCAGAGAAGTCATAGGACTGAATATCTCCAAGCAGGCTCCAGGAACTGCCATGGTCAAGTAGCTTCATGTGTCACAAAATAGTGGAAGCTCAGGTGGGAGAGTGTGGGCGCTGAGTTCAGAAGCCAGGGAAGTCTTGACCCTGGATATCCTGGGGGAGAGTAGATAACGCCTGCCCTTGGGAAGCCCCGTTTCTCCCGTGAAAAGGCTGGGATGGAGATGGGCCCCCTTAGCTCAGCCTAAATACAAAGCACAGAGTCCCCATCCCACTGCCTCTCCCTTTCTTGCACTCTGGAGTGAGGGTGGGGACAAACCTTCCAGCACTGTGGATGTAAAATGGGGGGTGGGGAGAGGCCTTCACGGAGGCTGCTGAGGACTGTGAGCTCCCCTGCCCGAAATGAGTGAATGACCCTGCTCCTGGGTCACCTGCCTTTGTCTGTCTCACCTATGAGTGTATCAGCTTCAGAGAAGTAGTTCTGGGTGAATGGGGCAGGGCATGCTTGTGTGCGCAGAGGCTTCCGACGGTGGGACTCTGTAGAACTACAGCGGGAAGCAGACAAAGAATTGAAAAAATGGCAAAGTGGTGTGAGGCCTCCGTAGGCGGTGCCATGACGTGGGAGCCTCTGACATTCCAACCCCTTCCACAGTCATAGAGGGGCCTATGGCTCATCCTGGCCACCACCCCCGCACCCCAGGGTCTTTCCCTGTTCCAGCTCCCAGACCACAGACCTAAAAACACATTTACCCCCAACACAGAGGGTCAGACCAGTGGGAAGGCAAAGTGAATAAGGGAAGATGAATTTCTTAACATCTTTAATAAGCTTGCACATAGCAACCTATTGAATTTCTTTTTTTTTTTCTTTTTTGAGATAGAGACAGAGTTTCACTCTTTTGCCCAGGCTGGAGTACAGTGATATAATCTCGGTTCACTGCAACCTCCAACCCCTGGGTTCAAGTGATTCTACTGCCTCAGTTTCCCAAGTAGCTGAGCTTATAGGCACCCACCACCCCACCTGGCTAATTTTTTACATTTTTAATAGAGATGTGGCTTTGCCAGGTTTGCCAGGCTGGTCTCAAACTCCTGACCTCCAGTGATCTACCAGCCTTGGCCTCCCAAAGTGCTAG